AAGGAATGATTGTTAGGTCTATATGTCTGTCTTGCAGGTATCATCTGACCTTGACCTCATTTTCATGGTTCATTGGTCAATGTTAAGCTTTTGTCGCAGAAAGCTCCATATAGGGATAGTGATCAATGTTAAGTTTTTGTGTTTTGGTCTGTTTTTCTTAAACTATAAGCAATAGGTCAACTATGTTTGGTGTATGGAATACTTGTAAAGTGTACATGTCTGTCAGGCAGGGTTCATCTGACCTTGACCTCATTTTCATGGTTCACATTTATATTACATAATACATAATTGTATTACTTTTTTTTGTAATAGTATTTTACTCGCCACAGATTGTTTTTTTTATAAGTGCATATCGGCTAGTAGTAAATGGGATATGTAAAAAAAGCAGGGACCCCTCTGTCAGCTGCCCTGGACTGCTTAGTGTTTATGTATCCAGGTGATTTGAAATAAAAGATATAAATCACAAAAAAAAACAAACAAAAAATACAGTACAGTACATATACATATCCATTCCAGCGCAAATTATATAAATATTTTATCGTTATAGTATGAAGATCATATTTCTAAGTAAAACAAATAATCATTTGCACACTGTTCAATATAAATCACTCCTGTTATACACATGAAACAAAATGTTTCTTTTGATGAACACATTAAAGACTTTTATTCGCAAAGTATCGAAATACAATAAGCATTTTAATAAATTAATGGTTACTTTAAAAATAAAATAAGCTAGTAGTCTTTGATATTTAAAAAAAATGAAGGAAAAGACAACCTGAGACCATGAGGCTGTATTATTCATGTAAGTTCCAGGTGCAACAAATTGCTGTTAAAAGTCTTTGATATTTAAAAAAAATGAAAGAAATGTAAGTCCCAGGTGCAACAAATTGCCATTAAATAAATAGATAAATAAACTGTACAAAAAAAAAGAAACTTCTCTTTGTAGGTTGCACTTCTGTAAATATAGACAATGCAATTTCCCATAGGAACTCCTTTTATGGCTAAAACTGTGCCACTATGAAGTTTCGTAAAATATTATATCCTAGAATGGAAAGTTCATATGTGCTACAATTTTTTTCAAAGGTCAAAATAAAGGGCTGTGTGGCATATTTTCAACATTTATATGCCCCGCCTGAATTTCTAAGAGTTTAAACTGATACTAAAATGCTGTACTACCCCTGCCTTCACTTTTGGTCCTCCTCAGAATTCAATTTCACCACTTTCCATGTGTATTTATACTGGTAACATTCCCAAGTTATGTCTCTATGAGATGAAACATAGAGATCATATCTAGGAACCAGTACGTAAACAAAACAAAATATCTCTGAATATTATATATCTCCCCAAAAGAGGCATGGTTTGTGAAACAGCTGTATTTACAAAGTGCAACCTGTAAAGGCATAGAATAGACTGAGTTAAGCTATTGTTTTAGAAACTACATTTTATAATGGCATTGTAAAAAATTAGTTCTGCTTTTGTTTTAGAAACTACATTTTGCAGTAGCATTGCTGAAATTGTGAATCAACTTTCTTTATCAGTTATTGCCCGAAAAGAATTATTTCAGCTAAATTATGAGATTTGTCAAGTAGCTTAAAAACTATAATACATAGGGAGAAAATGTGAACACCAAGGTAAAATATACATGAAAAAAGTGAATTTTGCAGAACACACAATGTATTTGGTTTGATAAAGGATTTTTTATACAACAGCAAAATTTTTTGGGGTTTAATTCAAAGTCTTGAATTCTTGGGGCTCTCTGATATGCTGAATCTAACCATATATTTAGAATTTAGGTTTTGGGCCTAAACTTTTGTATGCTAATCTAAAATAAAGACTTTTAAACTCCTCTGTTAGATAAAATAAATCATGGAATATTATTTATTCTCGATTTAAATATGATTAAAATTGAAGCATATTGTCTCATCTTTCAAAGCCCCTTTTCTGTTAAATAATAACACATGTTTTTATTAACCGCACTATTTTTAGACTCAGTTGTCAATTTTGTCATTATCCGGTTCTATTTTTAATGAAAGTGATCTTTCCATTTTCTCGACCTTCAGACGACCAAGTTGCTTTTCGATGAACAGAAATAAAACCTGTAGCACCACAGCCTCCCCAAAGTGTCTATAATGACAGTAAAAACTCTGATCCATTCAGTAATGAACAATTGACTGTCAAACGGCAGAGAAATAAAACATTACAGTCGTGCACCTGCTGAGGACAATCAAAGTCTCGATTTAGGGTTGTTTCACAATTATCCTTCTCACAACTCCAAAATATACGTACATATATTACTTTTGTACAAATTCAACTACTTTCATGACCACAGGTTAAATTTTCTATAAGTTTTAACTCGAAATGAAACACTTGACAGTGATTGTTTTCGATTCCGCCATTTTGTTACGTCACAAATTTTTTTCTCACAACATTTTTTGAAAAAACAGTGTGTTTGGCAGCGTAAACACACCCGATATGAATATATCGAATGCATTTAATGTTTCTTATACTATTTATGGATCAACTATGTCAAAAAATTTGTTATAACGTTATTTTTTCTGTTTGCATTGTGACTGTCTAAAAATAGAAATTTATTTATCCTTAAGGATACATTAGGCATCTGGACCAGTGTGCCAAAAGGATAATTTCGGGATGCGCTTGAGGGTGCCAAAAGGATACATTTGGTATGAATGGGTTGAATATAACATTTGGTCTCTTGTGGAGAGTTGTCTCATTGGCAATCATACCATTTTTATACGCCCTTTTACGGGACGTATTATGGTATACCGTTGTCCGTCTGTCCGTCCGTCCGTCTGTCCATCCGTCTGTCCGCCGTCAACATGTCGGACATTAACTCAAAAATGCTTTAGCCAATTTGCATTAAACTTTGGTGAATTGTTTATATCTATTGACGTGAGCTCCCTTTCGTTTTTTATAAAATTTAGATTTTACGTTTCCGAGTTATGGGGTTTTATTCATTAAAAAAAGGGGAATTTCCAGTTTTGGGACAATAAGTCAAGAATGCTTTCACCAACTTGCAAGAAATTGTGGTGAATTGTTTATATCTTTTGACATGAGCTCCCTTTCGATTTTTATAAATTTTAGATTTTACTTTTCTGAGTTACAGGGTTTTATTCATAAAAAAAGGGGGATTTTCCAGTTTTTGGACAAAAACTCACAAATGCTTCCAGCAATTCTTATGAAACTTTGGTGATTGTTTGTATGTATTGATGTAAGCTCCCTTTAGAATTTTATAAATTTTAGATTTTACGTTTCTGAGTTACAGGGTTTTATTCATTAAAAAAAGGGATGATTTTCCAGTTTTCGGACAATAACTCAAAAATGCTATCACCAATTCTCATGAAACTTTGGTGAATTGTATATATCCATTGATGTAAGCTCCCTTTTTATTTTCATAAATTTCTAATATGACATTGAGAATTAATTGAACTTTATTTGTTTATAGTCTGTCAACAGATTTACTAAGTATTGCACAACAGCAAGAAATCTTTAATTGAATATAAATTCAATTCGTATAATAAATTTCAAGTTCTTTGACTACATTTATTCAGAAACCTATAATATGTCAAATATTTAATTACAATCCAAATTCAGACCTGAATCAAGCTTGAATATTGTGTCCATTTTTGCCCCAACTGTTCAGGGTTGGACCTCTGCGGGCGTATCTAGCTGCGCTCAGCGAAGCAGTTTATTGTATTTGGATTTGTAGTCAAACCCTTATTTTTTTCAACCTTGAATTTTCCATATAATTAACTATTCTGGATTATGCATGTGTACAAGCAAAAGTCAGTGTAATTCAACAATTCGGTACATACAATGTGTGTTCTTATAAGGGATTACTAATTTAAAGAAAACTGCATGTTTGAATTCAATTTTTTTTTTGATTTTTGTCTCAATGAAACCGAAAATATATTGTTGCTAGGCACTTTTCTAATATAAATAAATGGTTGGATGGCAACTTTCCAATATAAATAAATGGTTGCTAGCCACTTTTGCACTATAAATAAATGGTTGCTGAGGACAAGTGTGATAACATTCACCCCTGACCCTGGTCTATATAATAATCCATACAGTCCTGAATCAAAAAATATATGGTTACTAGGTTCTTTTGTATCAAATAAGGGTGGTTGCTAAGAACTTTTGACAAGACCTTGACTTCTTACTGTTGACCTGTAAACAAAATAGTGGCTTTAATCATCCTGAAAATTTTCCTCACATATTGTTTACTTCTTTCCATTATATTTTCTTACAAAATCCAATTAATATATGCAAGATCAAAGGTCAAGGTCATCTATGATCTTTGATCTTGGATTAAATTGAATGGCATCTAATGTTCAATAGTTTTCACATCATAGTCATTCAATTGTAATAACTGTTTTTAGGATAATCTTAATAACATTGTAAAATTTCTGAAGAAAAAAACAAAAATGACACATTTTGGTTTCCATAGCAACCATAATAACTTTAACGGTACCAATTTTTCTGCACCAGATGCGCATTTCGACAATAAATGTCTCTTCAGTGATGCTCGGGGTCAAAATATTTGAAAATGCAAAGCTTATTAAAAAGATGAAGAGCTATAAACCAAAAAGGACAAAAAAGTATAGACAAAGCCAGGCAAGTAAGTATCATTTTCTGAAAAAAACTAACAAATATCATTAAATAAAATCTGGTTTTGTTTCAGAATGCTTGCACAGTAGGTGTTTTTTCAATGCTTAAATGCCCAAAATGTATAGGAAAATTCATTGACTTGGTTGCCATGAAAACCATGGCCTAGCAACACTTTGGGAGGATTTTTTCTTACTTTTTCACGTAATTATATGGTCAGACTAAGTTTCATGGGATAGGTGACTATGTGTGTCGACCCCCCTATATCAAATGGTTGGTGGTTACAGAGAATTGCTCTTAAACCTTGCAAATATTTGTTTTTCTGTAACCAAAGATTTTAATGACTATTAAAACTTGAAATGTTAAATTTACAGGTCCAGCTAACAACTGAATTGGCCAATGCAACATCTCTTTATAGTAATCTACAGTTAGAGGTGACAAATTTACGAAAGAAAGAGATTGAATACCAGCAGAAGATGGGGGTCTCATCTAATGATTCTGTCAGGCTGCAAGAGGAACTAGAGTCACTGAAAAATCAGAAAATAGGTAAATGTCCAGTTCAGATTAAGAATACAAAAAAGAATGAATATTGTGGATTCATTGATTTTATGTATAAAGCTATACAAAATCTGACAATTTTACACAACCTATAGCATGATACAAATCTCTTACCTGTCCTTTTTATTGTATTTTTGAAAAAGCATAATACTGACACCCCATCTATCTTACTATTTGATCAGTTTAAAAAAAAACTACCTAGGATAGAATGATAGAAAAAAGGAAAGGGACCGATTACAAATATATTTGTAGACCATATATTCCTACTAACTAAAATACATTAAAAATATGCTAACATATACGCTGTATATTGATATTGTAGATGACAGTCAGAAAATTACAGAATTGTCAACAAATTTTAAGGAAGAAAGGCAGAGACGTAAACATTTTGAGTCACAGATCTCACAAATACAGGAAGAATTTAATGATATCAAATCATCTAAAGAAAGCCTGGAAAAGGTATGCTTCATACACAGTTGTTATGATATGTAAAAGTATGCTCCATACACAGTTGTTATGATATGTAAAAGTATGCTCCATACACAGTTGTTATGATATGTAAAAGTATGCTCCATACACAGTTGTTATGATTATGTAAAAGTATGCTCCATACACAGTTGTTATGATTATGTAAAAGCATGCTCCATACACAGTTGTTATGATTATGTAAAAGCATGCTCCATACACAGTTGTTATGATTATGTAAATGTATGCTCCATCCACAATTATGTAAAAGTATGCTCCATACACAGTTGTTATGATTATGTAAAAGTATGCTCCATACACAGTTGTTACGATTATGTAAAAGTATGCTCCATTCACAATTATGTAAAAGTATGCTCCATACACAGTTGTTATGATTATGTAAAAGTATGCTCCATACACAGTTGTTACGATTATGTAAATGTATGCTCCATTCACAATTATGTAAAAGTATGCTCCATACACAGTTGTTATGATTATGTAAAAGTATGCTCCATACACAGTTGTTACGATTATGTAAAAGTATGCTCCATTCACAATTGTTATGATTATGTAAAAGTATGCTCCATACACAGTTGTTACGATTATGTAAAAGTATGCTCCATACACAGTTGTTATGAATATGTAAAAGTATGCTCCATACACAGTTGTTATGATTATGTAAAAGTATGCTCCACACACAGTTGTTATGATTATGTAAAAGTATGCTCTATACACAGTTGTTATGACTTCATAAAGGTATGCTAAATACACAATTGTTTATAATAGGATTAAACATATTTTTCTAGAGGTCATTGATGTGTAAACTGGGCCATTGAACTCACAAATTGAATAAAAGTCCAAAAGACTTTCATGTAAAGTTAGTGAGTCAGTTACTCATTTAAAACATCAATAACCTTTAAGAAATGTGTTTGATCTTTATTATTCTAAACCCAAACATATGTTATTTTGTTCTTTCAATTTAAACTTTCTTTGAACCTCAGGATCCCTTCATGTGTATAGCACATGAATATATCACAGTGAAATTGTCATAGAGTTTACATGGGTTATGAAAGAATTTTCCACAACATAATCTATCAAAGTTGAAACTATGGAAAAAAATTATTACGGACCAATCACATTCAAAAATTTGTAGATATACAAATCATATAAGAATTATGACTGTGTATGCTATTGTTTATTGATTCGCATAATGTTGATAAGTTGTGAACTTTTATCAAATAGAGGGCTTTATTCAAGATAACAAGCAGATAAAATTGATAATTTGCTTTTTATGCCCCACATACAATAGTAGAGGGGCATTATGTTTTTTCGGTCTGTGCGTCAGTTTGTTCGTCCGTCCGTCTGTCCCGCTACAGGTTAAAGGTTTTGGTCAAGGTAGTTTTTGATGAAGTTGAAGTCCAACCATTAAATTTAATGCCAAATTAGAGTTTTGACCCCAATTTCACGGTCCACTGAACATATAAAATGATAGTGCGAGTGGGGCATCCGTGTACTATGGATGCATTCTTGTTTTCTTAAATACTGTCAATCTCTGCTGTAATTCTACGATCTTAATTTTTTGACAGAATTTAAGTGACAGAAAGAGGAAGGCCACAGAAGAAAAAAGAGCTATGGAAGAGGAATTTGAAGAAAATAAAGAGCAATTAGAGGTTTGTTTGAGACTAGAGAATAGTTCCAGTTACCTCACTTTGATCAGCATATTTTTTTTTTTTCACTGAAGGAAAAGAGAAATTTATTTTACACTACCGAATCATTTCAAGACCACCATATTTTAGTCATGTCAAATAAGAATGTATTTTATTTATATGCAATAAAAGTCTTGAATTCTAATGAAATTAGACATCCATTTAATGGTATACATTATATATGTATGCATGTCATTCAAGATGAATATTTGGTGTTTCATAAATGAAGATTTTGATCCTGTACTTTTTCTGATATTTGTATTTGAGAATAAACTCAATAAAATGAATTGGTAAAAAACTATATAGTGGATATGAATAAATGGAGAAGTCGGTATACATTAATGAGACAGTAATCCAACAATACCAAAAAACCAAAAGACATCTGGGGGGTCAACGTATGGTTTTCAACAATGGACAAGTTTCTATACGATATATCAAGCTCTTAAATTTTTTTTAGTCTAAAAAAAAAAGTTGTGAATTTATTCAACGAAAACTATCAAAAGATGTGCTATCTATACCAAAATACAAAATACCCCAAATGACTAAAAACATTTAGAAATAACATAAGATCACCACTGATGAGGTCTTGCCTTGGGACAGTCATATGAACATGTGGCAGGTTTAAAAATAGATTTGTTTTCTTAAAGCCACTGACTATACAGTTAAAACTTAGGCTAGTACAGGAACATATATAGTTAGATATACTGTTCCCAGGCTAGTACAGGAACATATATCGTTAGATATACTCTTCCCAGGCTGGTACAGGAACATATATAGTTAGATATACTGTTCCCAGGCTAGAACAGGAACATATATAGTTAGATATACTGTTCCCAGGCTGGTACAGGAACATATATAGTTAGATATACTGTTCCCAGGCTAGTACAGGAACATATATAGTTAGATATACTGTTCCCAGGCTAGTACAGGAACATATATAGTTAGATATACTGTTCCCAGGCTGGTACAGGAACATATATAGTTAGATATACTGTTCCCAGGCTAGTACAGGAACATATATAGTTAGATATACTGTTCCCAGGCTAGTACAGGAACATATATAGTTAGATATACAGTTCCCAGGCTAGTATTAGTTTAAACTACATTCACCTTTCCTATCTTTGTCATTCATATCTACTTTCAAATAATTTTCAGAGAGAAATCCAGACACTTAGAGATAAATTAAGAAAAGCCAAATCATCAACAGATGTTGCCACTGCTGAACAAGTAAGTATCAAGCACTGGTTGTTTTTATTGATTTTGGTTCTATTTTAACAAGTCAGAATGGGAGTATGTATTTTGTTTCAGGAATTTACTGCAACAGAAATTATTAATATAAATCATTATAAAATGGCTTTAAACAGAGAAATATTTTTATTTTTATGTTAGCTATTTTTATGGTGAGAGTCAGTCAGAAAATTAATGAATAAGATTCATTTAAGGTATTTCACATGAAAAATTTAAACCTTAAATAAAAACTGCCAGAAAGGGATATTTTCCAGAATTAAAATGTTGTAAAAAAATTGTTAATGTATAGCCATATTAACATAAAACATTACATTTGAAAAATTGATATTTCATTATTTTCTAAAAAGTTATCAAACAAATATATGTTTGTAGGCATAACATGACATCAAATTATAAACCCTATTGACTGGCTTCATGTAGAAAAAAAATAGATTTTTAATGCCTTCATTGAATCTAGGTTTCACAAGTGGAGGAAGAATTAAACACAGAATGGAAAGAAAAGTGTGATAAAATGATGACTGCTCAACAGGAAAAACACAAGAGAGCTCTTCAGGAAATAAGGCAAGAAAATGAAGAGCTTCAAACTAACGTTCAGCAACTTGAGAAAAAGGTATATGAAAAGTTGTGTATAAGAAATTTATATTGATTTAGTTAAGATGTTTATTAAATGTGAAAGATTTATTATTGCTTTGTTTCTAGTGGAAAATTTATTTTATTTTTATGCACATTCAGCATGTGCAGGACAGTTGAATTAATATGTTTATTAAGAATTCTCCATTGCATGTTTGTTAAAAGAATTATAGGTGGTCATACTAGCTTTTTTTTTTGTATTTAAAAATACATCACAGCAATATTAATGAAACTCTCACACATTTGAGATTATCTTTTTTTTTTACATCAAGAGAGGGGGATGAAGCAATTCAAATTATTCTGATTTTTACTTAACTAATAAATGAAGATGCTCAGCTGAGTCATTTAAGAGCATACATATGTGTCATTGAATGCAAAGAAAATTTGAAATGCTGTTAAAGCTAAGATTAGATTTTAAGATACAAAAGATTAAATCAACTTTAACTTTAAAGCTAAGACAATAGTTTTAATAAATTATCTATACTACAGATACAAGAGATAAAATCCTCATCAGGGGGTACAGAAAGTCAGATAACAGAATTACAAGAACAGATAGAAGAAATGACAGTTTGGAAAGATAAGGTACACGTTTTATGTCTATATTTATTATTATAATGATAATAGTAATAACATTGGCGGTACAAATTTTTCTGCACCAGATGTAATTTAGACAAAAAATGTCTCTTCAGTGATGCTCAAGGCCAAAATATTTGAAAATTCCAATCTTATTAAAAAGATTAAGAGCTTATAGACCAAAATAGACAAAAAGTATAGCCAAAGCCGGGTAAGGAATCAGAGTTTGCATTAGGGAGATATATTCCTTAATTTAAATGATACAGATGTAATTGCGTTTTAAACGAAATTCTGTCCACAGAATTTCAAGAAATCTCAATTTAAGGTGAAATAACTGTATTTTTTCACTGCTGTTGCCATATAGTCTATACATTTAAAGATCAATTTCACAAACTTTTAGTTTACTGTATCTCTTACAATATGCAATTGCAGTTCAAAGAGTTCTAAATGTGTGTAAAATTTCATGAAAGTCTGAAAAAAACTAATTATCACTCCATGAATTACCAGTAGTCAAGATAACTGACAGTCAACTTCATGTGTATCTTAGAGCATTACTGCACCCTGGAGAAAAAAACCTCAGATACTAAATTTTTCTTAAAGGAAGCTATTTCACATAAAACTTGCAAATACATTGTATTTAACTGCTGAAACTTTCAGGGAGACCCTGAAATTTTTTCGTTAGATACGATAGTGTTATAATTGTTTTACTGTTTTCAGTATGAAAATTTACGAAACCAAGCTACCGGTATGAAAGATAAATATGAAGATAGAATAAATGAACTGGAATCAGAAAGGGACCAAATGGAAGAGGAAAGAGATGATGCTTTAGAGCGTGCCCAGAAACAACAGGAAGTTAGAGTGCCATCTAGTGGTGACTCCTCTAGTCAATCAGTTGTTGGCGAGGTAAATAAAAAAAGAATGAAAATAGAGGTATCTTACTGTTTGGTGTCAACAGTGACATATAGCACACCTTATAGCAAGGTCAAGGATAACCTTACTGTTGTTGACAAAGGTAGAATTCTTCTTTATTCATCAAAAACAAGTAAACATTTTTTGAAGTTACATTTTAGATGAAAAACCAATAAATTACATTTAATAGTTCAGGAAATTTTCTGTTAAAACCTGCACCTAAACAACAGATATTTTACTGTCATATATGTTCTTGTCGATTTTAAGAGCTTTAAAGAGCTTGTTTTTGTATGTTATCATGTGTACCGACTCTAAAGAAAGCTAGCTGTATTGTATTGTATTGAATTGTACTGTAATACAGATTAAATTAAAAATTAAAAATTAAATATTTTGTACAGGTTAAGAAGATTATGAATACTGTATATCAGGAACTGAAGAATAAGTTTGATTCTGATGAAACATATACTGGTGGTGATGTCCTTGGTGCTATACTTAACTCTATAAAGGTCAGTCTTTATTTCATTGTAGCTAGAATTTTTTTCCTTCACTGTTTTCATTATTGTAGCCAGAGTTTTTTAAGTTCTTGGTTTTCATTAAGAATTAGTTAATAATGTGCTTGTACTTCAAACTCTTGAAGAACAAATTAAAACTCACAATATTTCAACCTTTTTCCGATCAAATAATTGTTGATCTGATTTATTATAACAATGACATACTGAACTGTATTTGATTTTCTATCTGATAAGGTAACAGCCCTCAAGAAGACATGTCAACTACCTGCCACTGACTCTAAGCCTATCAGTCTTACTCCAAAATCCTGCGTGTAAATCGGGAAGAAGCCAATCTTATAATTTTTAGTCTAACCCTGCTTAGAATCAAACCTTCAACCCCATGCATCAGAGACAACACTTTACCACAAGATTACAATGGTTGTAATGAGATTGAACAACAATTCCTGAACCCAATTCTTGTCAAGAAGTATCTCTTAGCTTTTTTTGTATCATGAGTAAGGGGATATGTTCTAATTTATACTACAATAGTGAAAGAAAAACAGTGATGGCTGATGGCAACCATTGAAAACCACCGAATAACACTGTGTAGTCATTTTGATTAAATTAAAACGGAAACATGAAACAGGTAATAATGATAAAAGTCATATTTTTGAAATAGACTACATTTATTTTTAAATCTATCTGTTTACAGTCCACAACATTAAAACTGGTCCAAAGTCAAAGTGCAACCCCTACACAGGAGGTACAGGAAGAGAGTGAAGAGGAGTCAGAAGATGAAGATGAAGAAGATGAGGATCAAGATGGGGATCAAGATGAGGGAGTTGAGGAGCAAGAGAAGAAAGTTGTAGATCAAGATGAGGAAGAAGAAGAATCAGACGAAGACGAGGAGGATGTAAAAGATAATGTAGAGGAAGAAAAGAATGGTATGATATGGATCTTAATGACAATTAGAAGATGTGATTTAATTGTCAAATTATATAGGAAACTACCAAAGCTCTCTAGGCTCTCTCAAATCAAATACTCCATTGCTGTGTAAAAAAAATGTCTACATCAATGAAAGGAAGATAGTTTACTGCATCCACACAGTTTATACATCTAATTGCTTTTTGTCTGCCATTAGTAGATATTATAGTCATTCCCGTAAACTTTAATGTAGCCTGATACAATGTCTGACACTCCAAATCAAAATTGATTGACATCAATAGGTTAAGTGTCACAGAGTTAAAGAATTCAAAATAGCAAAAAGATTCATTTTAGCTCCTAAAAACATAAAATTGACCTAAGCATTATTAAAAGGTATACACACATGATAATCTGATAGGCGCTTTTTAACTTTAACAATATTATTTTTAGGTTTAATTATTCAGTTTACCTGAACAAAGTTTGAAAGAAAGAAAAAACTTGGTATAGTGAAATGAGCTTCTTACTTTTATTGAAATTGTTACTGCATTGCTGATTTTATTTTCAGATGTTGGTAAACCAGCAGAATCAGAACTAATACAATCTGAAAATACAGAACTACCCAATCAGGAACCTCAAAATATACCTGAAGATTTACCAGAAGTATCCAATGAAATGGAAAATAATATTGAAAATGACCAATCAGCAGCCAGTGTTGTTGAAAATACTCAAGAAAATGTACCTGACGTCAATTCAGATAAAAATGTTGTTAAGGATGAACAAGAAAAGGAAAGTAACCATGGTGAAAATGAAATAATAAATGAAACTAATGAACAACCAACAGCAGATTCTAATACTGGACCTAACAAAACTGAAAATAGCAATGAAGATAAAAAGAACGTGGACAGTGATATTGGTTCTAAAGCAAAAGTAGACTTAAGTGATTTTGATATTCCTAAAATTGAGAAAAATAATAAACCTGTAGTACCTCCTGCTGCCTCTATGGAGCCTCCACCTATTTTTGATGAAGATACAACAGAACAGAACAATACAGAGTATGTTTTTATATTGAATTAATTGTTTCAAGTTTTGTCATCCTTTACAAAACAAGAAAATTATCTCCCCTTGTATTGAAAAAAAATAAAACCTAATTTTTACAAAAGCTTTGATTAAAATGATTTTTTTTTTTTTTATTACTTATAACATCATATAACTTTTTTTTCTTGGTTACAAGATCCCTATCGAGTACAATAATAAAAAAACATAAGACTATTTAGAAATAAACAAATTATTAAATGGCAAAATGTTTAATTTATTAAAAAGTTACTACAATTTACAATAATATCCATAGATGTCAATAATGATTGTTAATATTCTGTCATTGTTTACATTTCAGCTTCTTATTTGGAGATGATAATCATGTTGAAGATACATTAGGAATATCTTTTGTTTACATTTTTGTTTACATTTCAGCTCCTTACTTGGAGATGATAATCATATTGAAGATACATTAGGAATATCTTTTGTTTACATTTTTGTTTACATTTCAGCTCCTTATTTGGAGATGATAATCATATTGAAGATACTGATAATCATGTTGAAGATACATTAGGAATATCTTTTGTTTACATTTTTGTTTACATTTCAGCTCCTTACTTGGAGATGATAATCATATTGAAGATACATTAGGAATATCTTTTGTTTACATTTTTGTTTACATTTCAGCTCCTTATTTGGAGATGATAATCATATTGAAGATACATTAGGAATATCTTTTGTTTACATTTTTGTTTACATTTCAGCTCCTTATTTGGAGATGATAATCATATTGAAGATACTGATAATCATGTTGAAGATACATTAGGAATATCTTTTGTTTACATTTTTGTTTACATTTCAGCTCCTTACTTGGAGATGATAATCATATTGAAGATACATTAGGAATATCTTTTGTTTACATTTTTGTTTACATTTCAGCTCCTTATTTGGAGATGATAATCATATTGAAGATACATTAGGAATATCTTTTGTTAACATTTTTGTTTACATTTCAGCTCCTTACTTGGAGATGATAATCATATTGAAGATACATTAGGAATATCTTTTGTTTACATTTTTGTTTACATTTCAGCTTCTTACTTGGAGGTGATAATCATATTGAAGATACATTAGGAATATCTTTTGTTTTCATTTTTGTTTACATTTCAGCTCCTTATTTGGAGATGATAATCATATTGAAGATACATTAGGAATATCTTTTGTTTACATTTTAGCTCCTTACTTGGAGATGATAATCATATTGAAGATACATTAGGAATATCTTTTGTTTACATTTTTGTTTACATTTCAGCTTCTTACTTGGAGATGATAATCATATTGAAGATACATTAGGAATATCTTTTGTTTACATTTTTGTTTACATTTCAGCTCCTTATTTGGAGATGATAATCATATTGAAGATACATTAGGAATATCTTTTGTTTACATTTTTGTTTACATTTCAGCTTCTTACTTGGAGATGATAATCATATTGAAGATACATTAGGAATATCTTTTGTTTACATTTTTGTTTACATTTCAGCTCCTTATTTGGAGATGATAATCATATTGAAGATACATTAGGATTATCTTTTGTTTACATTTTTGTTTACATTTCAGCTCCTTACTTGGAGATGATAATCATGTGGAAGATACATTAGAAATATCGTTTGTTTACATTTTTGTTTACATTTCAGCTCCTTATTTGGAGATGATAATCATATTGAAGATACATTAGGAATATCTTTTGTTGACATTTTTGTTTACATTTCAGCTCCTTATTTGGAGATGATAATCATATTGAAGATACATTAGGAATATCTTTTGTTTACATTTTTGTTTACATTTCAGCTCCTTACTTTGAGATGATAATCATGTGGAAGATACATTAGGAATATCTTTTGTTTACATTTTTGTTTACATCTCAGCTCCTTATTTGGAGATGATAATCATGTTGAAGATACATTAGGAATATCTTTTGTTTACATTTTTGTTTACATTTCAGCTCCTTATTTGGAGATGATTATCATGTTGAAGATACATTAGGAATATCTTTTGTTTACATTTTTGTTTACATCTCAGCTCCTTATTTGGAGATGATCATCATGTTGAAGATACATTAGGAATATCTTTTGTTTACATTTCAGCTCCTTATTTGGAGATGATAATCATGTTGAAGATACATTATGAATATCTTTTGTTTACATTTCAGCTCCTTATTTGGAGATGATAATCTTGTTGAAGATACATTATGAATATCTTTTGTTTACATTTCAGCTCCTTATTTGGAGATGATAATCATGTTGAAGATACATTAGGAATATCTTTTAACAAGGATGAAACCAAAGATATAAAGAAAAAGTCATCAAAAGTCGATTTGTTAGATGACGTAAGTGTTTTATTAATTATCTTGATTAAAAATAGTTTTCTATGTTGTATATTGTTTACTGTTGTTTATCTTTTGGTCGTTTTACGTAATTTGTCATGGCGTTTTCATTTTGTTTTCCACTTATTAGTTTATATGTCCCTTTTGTATTTAATGCCTCTCTTTTAACATGGAATAATGCCAAGTGGTTTCAAGTCTCCTTGACTTTTGTTTATTATTAGTCCCCTACTGACGAAGTCAAAGGGGACTTTAGGTTTGCACTCCGTCTGTTTGTCTGTCCATCTGTCAATTTCGGCAAATCAGTTTACGCACTTTTATTATTCGTGCTTGAAGATATTGATTTGATATTTGGTGTATTGTTTTATCATGACAAGTTACAGATCAAGTTCAAATTTTGTTCAGGTCTGATGATTTTGTGCAGAGTTATGGTCCTTGGACAGAAAATTCACTCAAATAATCAGTTTTACGCACTTTTTTTCGTCATGTTTAAAGATATTTACTTGATATTTGTTATATAGTTTACACCATGACGAGTTATAGATCAAGTTAGCATTTTGTTCCAGTACAGTGAATTTTTAACCGGTAGGGGACTATGTATTGCCATGCAATACTCTCAGAATGCTTGTTAAACATACATAGCTAGTTTATGCATAGCCTAGGAAAACCCAGAGGGGTAACTAAATATTAAGGATAAGTTGAAAATGTAAGAAGGGATTTTTCTATAGCCCATGTTTAGTACAGAACATTACTGTACATTTTTTAACCTTTTAAACTTATTAAACAACTGAATCCATATGAATTATTTCAATTTTAAAATTGAGTAATAAATTGTTTCTATATAAAAATAAGGAGATGCGGTACGATTGCCAATGAGACAATTATTCACCATATTTCAAATGAAGTGGATGTTAGCAATTATAGGCCACTGAACGGCCTTCAACAATGAGAAACACCCTGAACATTTATATCATTAAACACCACATTGTTTGTTTATTATTACATCACCTTATTTATATTATATTTATTATTAATAGGATTTAAAACCACAGCCATTGTTTATGAATTCATCAAATAATTAACTTAGGATTATATTTATTTTTTTTACAGGATTTAAAACCGCAGCCTCCACCTCCATTGTTTGGTGATGATGATGACGACGATGATGATTTAGATTGGTTGAGTTAACACAAACTGTTGAGAACATAATCTTATGTGCCAAAACTGTGATAAAACATTCCACAAAGTGTTGTTATTGTTCAGAAAGCAAAATGCATTATTCAATAGAAAAGGGGGGTTGTAATTGTAGACTAAATGCCGCTAAAGACATGCTGCTTAAATGAATTTGTTTTTTTTTTCCTTTTAAATTGTGATATATGTCATGGTTGGTGAGAAAGTTTTATTAAAAATGGTAATGGTCAATTATTCCGTATAAATTTGAATTTGCAATCCTTTTATTTTCAAAGTAAATTTCTAAACCTTTTCAAAAAATTTTAAAAGAGGAAATTTGCGTGGTTCACTCAAAATGGATTAAGAATTCCATATGCAAAATATTTCAATGCGTAGGAATTTTTTGTAACAGGACCCCTATACCAAACTTCAGTGACCAGAGTCTTTCCTTCCCCACTGTGAATTGTTAATGTTTTTAATGCAAATTTTCATCATTTTTTAATTTATTCAATATATTTCAGTATAGAGTTCTCAAATTATTACTCATTTATTGAAATTTTGTCATTGAAGACAAAAGAATTAAGATTAACATGTAGTTAATTCTCCAACCCCAACCCCTCTGCCCTAAAGTTTAAAAATTAGTGCCCATTGATAAATTTTCAATATGTTATGTTTGAAATATAAATTATGTAAAATATTGCATTGTCAGTGCTCACACCTTTATAGTTCTTGGTTGACTGTTATCAGTTTATATGAAAGGTTTATAGTAACAATATCTTGATCCATTTCGGGAACCAGTGCCAATCAATAAAATTTAGGGAGGAATGGTCTTTGAAAACTGTGTGAAAAATTGTCCTGTAACTTATCTCATGCTATAAAAGAAGTCATTATGAACAAAAAAGTTGTCTTTCCATCTTTTTGATGGAAATACTGAGTGATGAGTGTATAGGATTTACAAATAGATTCATTGGCAAGTTTTCTTTTATGCTTGATTTTACTTTCTGTAAACGCTTAAATAAATTGTCTTTAATTGTCAGCAGCAGCTTTCTGAGATTTGAGATTAGTTTATATATCTGGAGTACGTTTACTCTAAGATGTATGTTTAACTAGCATATCATAGTACTAAATACTTTATTTTTCTTCTTTTTTTTCTAAATTCCATGATATTTAATATACAATAATCATTTATACCATATTCTTATTATAACAAATAATATAGAAAAAAATCTTCTGAAATAAAATTTCTTGACAGTTATTATACCCTTATTGCTGTGTACAATTATTGATTTGTAGTAAAGTGTTTCTGTAAATTCAGAAAGTTTTGCCTGCATTTATAATTGCGAATAAGGAAAGTTGAAATAAAATGATAGAGTAATTACTCCAATTTCAGGAAATGCTTCATTCAAATAATACTATCACATTTAAAATGTGAATTTTTATTTTTGAAAACCTATCCTGTAGTAATTTTGCAATAGTAAACACATTGCAAACATTAATTAATTTATAATATTTAAAGAAAAATAATTGCTACTGGATGAGAAATTTATGTTCCCATATAGTATAGTCATGTTGAATGTTCCATTTATGTCGACAAAATGTCAGGATTAAAATGATATAAATCTGGGCTTTTTGATGGTTGATGGATGATAGGGACATATTAAAAAGTTGGAGATGGAAGTGACACATAAAATGTATTGTAAAAAGTGAATTCTACAAAGGTTCAATTATTTAATCCCATTTGTACTAACAGTTTGCATAAAACTCCATTAATTATTGTAAAGATGATTTGTTAAATGTAGAATGATCTAAAGATTTTTCCCAAACTGAGAAATTAGTTTATCAGAAATTATCTCCCTTTATTACAAGTAACAGTGTTGGTGCTTTTGTTGTTTTATTGTTTAAATGAATACATGTCATACAAAATAATGTGCAATGTTATAAAGATTACAGAGTTAATAAATTATTTTATGAGAAAAGAGTTTTGTTGTGAATGTTACATGAAACTTTAGTAAAATACTTCCTTTTATTAAGCATGTGCAATGGATTGTTTTCTCTTGAGTAATAGATTGCAATGGATTGTTTCCCTTGAGTAATAGATTGCAATAGATTGTTTCCCTTGAGTAATAGATTGCAATGGATTGTTTCCCTTGAGTAATAGATTGCAATGGACTAGTACTGTATCCATTGAGTAATAGATTGCAATGGACTGTTTTCCTTGAGTAATAGATTGCAATGGACTGTTTCCCTTGAGTAATAGATTGCAATTGATTGTTTCCTTTGAGTAATAGATTGGAATGGATTGTTTCCCTTGAGTAATATATTGCAATTGATTGTATCCCTTGAGTAATAGATTGCAATGGATTATTTCCCTTGAGTAAAAGATTGCAATGGACTGTTTCCCTTGAGTAATAGATTGTAATGGACTGTTTCCCTTGAGTAATAAATTGCAATGGATTGTATCCCTTGAGTAATAGATTGCAATGGATTGTATCCCTTGAGTAATAGATTGCAATGGATTGTATCCCTGGAGTAATAGATTGCAATGGATTGTTTCCCTTGAGTAATAGATTGCAATGGACTGTATCGCTTGAGTAATAGATTGATATGGACTGTATCCCTTGAGTCAAAGTTCTCCTTAACTCAATTGGTAAAATTTTTGAACAAATAGGTCCAAGGTTTAATTCCCAGAGGTGATGATTTTGTAATTTTCTTGCCATTCTCGGCTGTTACACATGTTTCACAGTTATACATGTATAACATATGATAAAAATCATTTGGTGACCACCATGGCCATTATTGATAAAAGAACAGAGAGTGATAAAGTTTCAGAAGTATCAAGACTTACTGGTGGTGAAATAGTCATATGGTGTAAGAATGCTCACTGACTGACCAAAATGGACTTACTGGTGGTGAAATAGTCACATGTTGTTAGAACGCTCACTAACTGACCAAAATGGCTGTCACTTTACCATACACAAATATTGAGTTCTTGGCCTACAGTCATAAAACTTTACTCAGTACTTGGAGTACAAAATATGTGCTAGAAACGCCAAATTCATCATTTTGATTGGTTTAATTCTGAGTCTGAGTCTGAGTAGGATAATCGTACTCCAAATTTTCATAACTGCAGTCACTGGTACGGATTAAATTGAGAAAGGAAATGGGGAATGTGACAAAGAGACCACAACACGATCAAAAAAGCATGAAACAGCCCAAGGCCACCAATGGGTCTTCAACACAGCGAGAAAATCCCACACCTGGAGGAGGGCTTCAGCTGGTCCCTAAACAAAAATGCGTACTAGTAATGAGTAGTTCAGTGAAAATGGACGTCACACTAAACTCCGAAACATATAAATGAACTGAAATTAAAAAAACATACAAGACTAACAAAGGCCAGAGGCTCCTGACTTGGGACAGGCCCAAAAATGTGACGGGGTTAAACATGTTTTGTGAGATCTCAACCCTCCCCTATACCTCTAGCCATTGTAGAATAAACAAACACACAGCAAAATGCACAGTAAAACTCAGTTTAAAAGAAGTCCAATGTCAGAATAGGTAACAGAATAAACTAAGCAAAATGACAATGATACATAAATTAACAAAGGACTAATAGCAGTTACTGACATGCCAGCTAAGCATTTTTCACCAATTGCCTTAATGACTTGCAGAACAGTCACTTTTCATCTGTGGCTTAAAATTAAAAACTATGGGAAATCTTTTTAGTTCTTTCAATGGCAGACATGAAAGTGGTATTAAATGAGCATTGAATATTTTGGAATTCAGTTATCACTCAATCAGCTGATTGATTGATTAATTGATTGTTGGTTGTTTAACCAGAGGCATTTCAATCAGTTCAAGTCTATTATATAAGACAAATGAAGTGGATTGTTATTTAGAATAATCTGTCAGTTTGAACATGGTATGATGCTTGAATGTTATGGACAAAATATTATGCTGATAAAAGACCAGGAGAAATTGCAAACTTTCAGAACTACTACAATATAAAAATAAGAAGATGTGGTATGATTGCAAAAGAGACAACTCTCCACCAGAGACCAAATGACAAAGAAGTATACAACTATAGGTCACCATACAGCCCTCAACAATGAGCAAAACCCATACCACATAGCCATCTTTAAAAGGTCCCGAAATGACAAATGTAAAACAATTCAAATGTAAAAACTAACAGCCTGATTTAAGTACAAAAAATGAACCAAAACAAATATGACATACAGCAACAAACGACGATCACTGAATTACAAGCTCCTTACTTGGGACAGGCACATACAGAATAAGGCGGGGTTTAACTAGTTAATTGGTGCCAAACCTTCCCCCTAACCTGGGACAGTGGTGTAACAGTACAAACTAAAAACAAACTATAAAAATCAGTTGAAAAGGACTGAATTCATTAGATCGATACAAAGCAGAAAAACATCTAACAAAAACACAGACCTGACGTGGCAGGATATTTATACATCCCCACAACAAAAAAGACACTAAGTACAGATCTTAAAGTACTCACAGTTACTGACAGCTAGTTCAAAGCCAATGACAACTAATAAACTAGACAAAGTGAAGCCCCCGCAGTCCACTCTGAAGTAACTGTATTATAGCAAAGTCAATTTAGGACTTTCTTTGAGATATAATTGTGTCTGGGAGACACAAATGATGCCCACGCAGATGCAAAGTTTTATTTTAAAATACACAAAGTTGAGCATGGGAGTACATAGGTCTATGGTCCACTGTAGGAGGAATTATCCGGAAACGCTATGCACCTCTTATGCAAGTAAATACTAAAAAAAGTGATAAAGTTCAACTATCTCCCAAAAGAGCAAATATTAATAAAAATTAAAACCCTGACCACATGCACACCTTCAATATATGTACAAACAGCCAGCAAAGTGAAAACTTTCTAGCATTAAAACTGTAGGAGCAATTATCTGGAAACGCTTTATACCTCTAATGCAAGTAAATACTCCAAAAAAATTACAAAGTTCAACTATCTCCCAAAAGAGAAAATATAAATAAAAGTTAAAACCCTGACCACATGCACACCTCCAATATATGTACAAACAGCCAGCAAAGTGAAAATTTCCTAGCATTAAAACTGTAGGAGGAGTTATCTGGAAACGCTATGCACCTCTTATGCAAGAATATACTCCAAAAATGACAGAGTTCAACTATCTCCCAAAAGAGCAAATATCAATAAAAATCAAAACCCTGACCACATGCACACCTTCAATATATGTAAAAACAGCCAGCAAAGTGAAAACTTCCTAGCATTCAAACTGTAGGAGGAGTTATCTGGAATAACCATATACCCATGATGGAACGGAAAGACAGACGGAAGGCCAGACGGACCGACAGACTGACGGACAGGAGTAAAACAATATGCCCCCCCAACTTTCAGTTGCGGGGGCATAAAAAATCATGCATCTAAGACTACAATGTCAATGAGTACACATCCAACATTCAATGTCATTAACAGTTAGAGAAAACCATGACCTTGTGCAATGCCAAGATACAGGTATCAACAGATTGTAGAGCCATGAATGTGCATATGTATATAAACAGATTTACTATTAGTGATTGCTCACTAAGTATACACCCTCAATATTGAATAAATGTGGTGAAAATTTCATAAATGTGCATGACATTTTAAAGATGTAAGATTTCACCAACCAGGAAGTAGAACATTGAAAGAACTGAAAACGTGCCACACTATATGGCTTAAACTGATGAAGCATGGTGTCATACATAAACTCTACACTTATAGTTGCTGAGAAAATTGAAGTTATATGTTTACAGCATACAGGATGTAGAACATTGATGGAACTGCTATATACTAAACTGACACACTGAGTCAGATTTTTAATGTGCTAGTACACAAGGTAGACATGTCACTCTATCCAGACACATTATTCAGACTCCAAGCTGACCTTTCTTTGCTCTTACTCCTAAATGCTGCATGCTTAGCAGAGAAGCAAATTAGAATTTTCAAGTCTTTGGTTTGACCTGGCCAGGGATTGAACCCACAACCTAACACTCTAACAAACTACCTTTCACAAGGCCACCCAAGCAGTTCCAAGAAACTGGAATGCCTATTTCAAATCTAATCAAAACACACCAGGAATTTCAAAGAAAATCTGAAAAATGCGATCAAACTTGGATTCAAAATAAATCAAAGAAAATTATGATTTTGATCCCTTAAAGCCATTACAGATTATTTATTAAAATCAACCAGTCGAAAAAATATTGAATATTATTTCATCATGTTTAAATTTTTCATAACATTTTATAAAGTTGTATTGAACATTATCATTATACTTGATTTTTATACTAATGTATGCAATGTAGATGTTTGCATTTTTGTTTATGCTTTTTCTATGATGAGGGCCTGAGGGAAGATTAGTTATATAGCTAACTGTGTAACCCTCTTAAAATAAAGTATTGTTGGTGTTGTTGTTGTTATATACATGGAAACAATCATAATTACACAAAATCTGTTTTGAACTCCCATCATCTGTTTATGAAGAATTCCACTTAAAACAAGAGGCTCATGAGAGCCTGATATCGCTCACCTGTAATTTCAGTTTCAGGCATTTGGTACCATTAAAACGTTTAAACCCGCTGCATTTGTTTGCACCTGTCCTAAGTCAGGAATCTGATGTTCAGTAGTTGTCGTTTGTTGATGTGGTTCATAAGTGTTTCTCGTTTCTCGTTTTTTTTATAGATTAGACCGTTGGTTTTCCCGTTTGAATGGTTTTACACTAGTAATTTTTTGGGGCCCTTTATAGCTTACTGTTCGGTGTGAGCCAAGGCTCCGTGTTGAAGACCGTACTGTGACCTATAATGGTTTACTTTTATAAATTTTTACTTGGATGGAGAGTTGTCTCATTGGCACTCATACCATATCTTCTTATATCTATTTGACTTATTTGTAGATCTTACTTTGCTGAACAATTTTGTCATTTACACTTTCTCTCTTTCTTTAATAATATTAAAGATAATACATAACCCAAAACTGTAAAATTTCTTAAAAATTAACTATTTCTGGACAGTAACCCAACAATAAGTTGTCCTATTGGTCTGACGATTACTTGACACGTAGATCTAAACCTGTTTAACACTTTCACCTATGTCAGTTTTGCTCTTACAGCTTTAGTTTTTGAAATGAAAGCCAAAAACTTCATTTGCCCCCTATGTTCTATTTTTAGAAACTGCCGCCATGTTTTTGGATGGATCAAGTCCCAGAATACAATCTATAAAATAGATACACTAAGGAACATTAAATTTAAGTTTTTAAGTATTTGGCCAAGGATTTGTATAGTGTATTTCTATACAAATCCTTTATTTGGCCAAGTAATTTCAGAGAAGATTTTTGAAAAAGTTATTACTTTCACAAAAAATGTAAAAAAAAAAAAAAATTAAGGGCAATAACTCCTAAAGGGGTGAATTGACTATTTGTAGATCTTACTTAGCTGAACATTTATTGCCATTTATACTTTCTCTCTATCTATTATAATATTAAAGAAAATAACCAAAAACAGTAAAATTTAATAAAAATAAACTATTTCCAACAGTAACACAACAATGGGTTGTTGAACTTGTCTGAAAATTTCATAATAGATAGATCATGACCCATTTATCACTTTAACTCCTTTCACTTTTGCTCTAACTGCTGTAGTTTTTGAGATATAAGCCAAAAACTGCTTTTGTCCCCTATGTTCTATTTTTAGCCATGGCGGCCTTGTTTGTTGATGGATCAAAACTTCTTATACAATTTATAAACAAGAAACCCTAAGGAACATTCAGTAATAGTTTGGAAGTATTTGGCCCAGTATTTTCAGATATGAAGATTTTTGAAAAAGTTATAGACTTGCACGAAAAAATGTCAAAAATAAACATTTCAAGGGCAATAACTCCTTAAGGAGTCAATTGATTATTTTGATCATTTGACTTATTTGTAGATCCTACTTAGCTGAACATTTTTGGCATTTACACTTTCTCTCTATCTGTTATAATATTAAAGATAATAACCAAAAACAGTAAAATTTCATAAAAATAAACTATTTCGGACAGTAACCCTACAATGGGTGGTCCAATTGGTCTGAAAATTTCATAACAGATAGATCTTGACTTATTCATCACTTTAACTCGTGTCACTTTTGCTCTAACTGCTACAGTTTTTGAGATTAAAACCAAAAACTGCATTTGACCCCTATGTTATATTTTTAGCCATGGCAGATATGTTTGTTAATGGATCAAAACTTCGGATACAATTTATAAACCAGTTACCCTAAGGAACATTCAGTTAAAGTTTAGAAATATTAGGCCCAGTAGTTTCAGAGAAGAAGATTTTTAAATGTTAGCAAACATGATGAACAAATTGTGTAAAATTCTCTTTAAAGGGCAATAACTCCTTAAGGGGTCAATTGACAATTTTGGTCATATTAACTTGTTTGTAGATCTTACTTTGCTGAACATTTTTGCTGTCTACAGTTTATCCTTATCTTCAATAATATTCAAGATAATAACCAAACACTGCAAAATTTCCATTAAATTACCAATTTAGTGGCAGCAACCCAACAATGGGTTGTTTGGTTATCTGAAAATTTCAGGGCTGATAGATCTTGACCTATATAATAATCCCACCCCCCTATGTTCTATTTTCAGCAATGGTGCCCATGTTTGGTGATGGATCAAAACTCGGGATATAATTTATAAACTAGATACCCTAAGAAACATTCAGTTAAAGTTTGAAGGTATTTGGCCCAGTAGTTTCAGAGGAGAAGATTGTTGAAATAGTTTACGACGACAACAGACGTCGGCGCCGTACGCCAAGTGATGGCATAAGCTCACACGGTACTTCGGGCCAGGTGAGCTAAAAAACATAGAGCCGCCATACTGATATTTGTCTTGAAATCAGAAAAAAAAATCCTTACAAAATCAATCTAGCCCTGTCATTTAAGCCAATAACCCCTAAAAGAAGTCCTCTGATAATTTTGGTACAAATAGAAAGGTTTATTAAAATAAGGAGAAGTGGTATGTTTGACAATGAGACAACAATCCACCAGAGACCAAGTGACATGGATGTAAGAAAATTTATCACATATATCATAACTGTTTCTGTTCATCTCACTCATTGTGATGGAGCATCACATTATAAAATATAGAAATACCAGTGAAATATTTTTATTAAATTTTCTAAGTTTGACACAAAAAAAAGCATGTAGAAATCTGATGAGATTACAAAATGAGAAAAAAGGTAGCACCATTCTACATAAATGTACAAAAATATACTTTCATTAAGAATTATTGGTAAAGCAATAACATAACAACATTGTATCAAGTGAATACTTCAAAGGCTTCCTTCACCTTAACTCAGTCACTATTGAGAAAATATTTGGGTCAAGAAACAGTAATGAGGAGAAATTGTCTAAGAAAAACTTTTTGCAAGCATTTTCAAAAATATCATAGGGTCAAATAAATCTGAGGATTGATCCTTGTATTTTGAAGTAGTCACAGTTATAGGGATGCATAAGCATGCAGAATGATCTATAACAGGCTACAACAAAAACCTGATAAAAACTGTTCCATTAATAGCTACAAGATAGACATGAGCCAAAAACCGATATAAATAAAAGACATGTAATCTTAAATGTGAAAAAAGTGCAAAATATTGAAAGTAAATAATAAATAGTGTAAAACAAAAAAGTACATGCACTTGTAAAGTCCTAGTTACTGACCTACTGATACATGTATAAGAGAAATACATGTTTAATGCTATAGAGATAAGGTAGCACCTGTAAGATTTACACATATATAATATCTTGGATACCCTATCAGACTTCACATGCAAAACTCTTGTTCAAGTTTGCACAATTGTATACACATTTGATAATTCTTTATGTGTATGGAATTTTTGTAGGTATTTTAAAACATGTCTTTTTACCTTTTGGTTTCCAATTCAGCTTATTTAATGCCTTTCAAGTTCATATTCTTAGTCAAATTTTATACATGACAGTATTCCCAGTAATAAAATGTAAAAATATGATTATAAAAATCTTAGAATGTGCTTATAAAAAATTACATATACACAGTTTACAAAAAAAAAATCAACAATATTAACAACAAATACAAAATGGAATGGTAACAATTACACTGCAACTGCATTTCTCTGTGAATAAGGTCACATCAAACTTATTTGTACATTTTATGAACCTCTTTCACTCTACACAGTTGTGTGAGTATCTTTTTAAAAGTATCTTTTAATCTTTATTACATTTTTTTTCCTAATATAAAAATTCTGATGAATTAATTGTGTGAAAAATGAAGAGTGTAAAAAACCATGTGTCCCCATTCAAAAGCATTGATCTTAAAAACTAGAGGCTCTAAAGAGCCTGTGTCACTCACCTTGGTATATGTGCATATTAAACAAAGGACAAAGATGGATTCATGACAAAATTGTGTTTTGGTGATGGTGATGTGTTTGTAGATCTTACTTTACTGAACATTCTTGCTGCTTACAATTATCTCTATCTATAATGAACTTGGCCCAGTAGTTACAGTGGAAAATATTTTGTAAAAATTTACAAAAATTTACAAAATTTATGAAAAAATTGTAAAAAATTGACTATAAAGGGCAATAACTCCTTAAGGGGTCAATTGACAATTTTGGTCATGTTGACTTATTTGTAGATCTTACTTTGCTGTACATTATTGCTGTTTACAGTTTATCTCTATCTATAATAATATTCAAGATAATAACCAAAAGCTGCAAAATTTTCTTAAAATTACCAATTCAGGGGCAGCAACCCAACAACGTGTTGCCTGATTGGTCTGAAAATTTCAGGGCAGATAGATCTTGACCTGATAATCAGTTTTACCCACGTCAGATTTACTCTAAATGCTTTGGTTTCAGAGATATACCGGTAAGCCAAAATCTACATTTTACCCCTATGTTCTATTTTTAGCCATGTCGGCCATCTTGGATTGCGGACGGGGTCATTGGACACATTTTTTAAACTATATACCCTAATGATGATTGTGTAAAAGTTTAGTTAAATTTGTCTTAGTAGTTTCAGAGAAGATTTTTGTAAAAGATTACAAAAATTTACGAAAAATGGTTAAAAATTGATTATAAAGGGCAATATCTCCTTAAGGGGTCAACTGACCATTTTGGTCAAGTTTGACTTATTTGTAGATCTTACTTTGCTGAACATTATTGCTGTTTACAGTTTATCTCTATCTATAATAATATTCAAGATAATAACCAAAAACGACAAAATTTCATTAAAATTACCAATTCAGGGGCAGCAACCAAACAACGATTTGCCAAATTGGTCTGAAAATTTCAGGGCAGATAGATCTTGACCTGATAAACAATTTTACCCCATGTCAGATTTGCTCCTAAATGCTTTGGTTTTAGAGATATGAGCCAAAAACTGCATTTTACCCTATGTACTATTTTTTAGCCATGTCGGCCATCTTGGTTCGCGGGTGGGGTCATCGGACACATTTTTTAAACTATATACCCTAATGATGATTGTGGACAAGTTTGGTTAAATTTGTCTTAGTAGTTTCAGAGAAGATTTTTGTAAAAGATTACAAAAATTTACGAAAAATGGTTAAAAATTGATTATAAAGGGCAATATCTCCTTAAGGGGTCAACTGACCATTTTGGTCAAGTTGACTTAATTGTAGATCTTACTCTGCTGAACATTATTGCTGTTTACAGTTTATCTCTATCTATAATAATATTCAAGATAATAACCAAAAGCTGCAAAATTTTCTTAAAATTACCAATTCAGGGGCAGCAACCCAACGTGTTGCCTGATTGGTCTGAAAATTTCAGGGCAGATAGATCTTGACCTGATAATCAGTTTTACCCACGTCAGATTTACTCTAAATGCTTTGGTTTCAGAGATATAAGCCAAAATCTACATTTTACCACTATGTTCTATTTTTAGCCATGTCGGCCATCTTGGATTGCGGACGGGGTCATTGGACACATTTTTTAAACTATATACCCTAATGATGATTGTGTAAAAGTTTAGTTAAATTTGTCTTAGTAGTTTCAGAGGAGAAGATTTTTGTAAAAGATTACAAAAATTTACGAAAAATGGTTAAAAATTGACTATAAAGGGCAATAACTCCTTAAGGGGTCAACTGACCATTTTGGTCAAGTTGACTTATTTGTAGATCTTACTTTGCTGAACATTATTGCTGTTTACAGTTTATCTCTATCTATAATAATATTCAAGATAATAACCAAAAACGACAAAATTTCATTAAAATTACCAATTCAGGGGCAGCAACCAAACAACGATTTGCCAAATTGGTCTGAAAATTTCAGGGCAGATAGATCTTGACCTGATAAACAATTTTACCCCATGTCAGATTTGCTCCTAAATGCTTTGGTTTCAGAGATATGAGCCAAAAACTGCATTTTACCCTATGTACTATTTTTTAGCCATGTCGGCCATCTTGGTTTGCGGGCGGGGTCATCGGACACATTTTTTAAACTATATACCCTAATGATGATTGTGGACAAGTTTGGTTAAATTTGTCTTAGTAGTTTCAGAGAAGATTTTTGTAAAAGATTACAAAAATTTACGAAAAATGGTTAAAAATTGATTATAAAGGGCAATATCTCCTTAATGGGTCAACTGACCATTTTGGTCAAGTTGACTTAATTGTAGATCTTACTCTGCTGAACATTATTGCTGTTTACAGTTTATCTCTATCTATAATAATATTCAAGATAATAACCAAAAACGGCAAAATTTCCTTAAAATTACCAATTCAGGGGCAGCAACCCAACAACGGGTTGTCAGATTCATCTGAAAATTTCAGGGCAGATAGATCTTGACCTGATAAACAATTTTACCCCCATGTCAGATTTGCTCTAAATGCTTTGGTTTCAGAGATATAAGCCAAAATCTACATTTTACCCCTATGTTCTATTTTTAGCCATGGCGGCCATCTTGGTTGGTTGACCGGATCACCAGACACATTTTTTAAACTAGATACCCCAATGATGATTGTGACCAAGTTTGGTTAAATTTGACCCAGTAGTTTCAGAGGAGAAGATTTTTGTAAAAGTTAACAGACGACGCCGGACGACGATGACGGACGACGGACGCAAAGTGATGAGAAAAGCTCACTTGGCCCTTCGGGCCAGGTGAGCTAAAAAAGGGAGGTTCCAACCCCTGGAACCCCTTTCTGGATCCGCCACTGCTTAACAAAATAGGTAAATATAAAGATTGCACTACTATACTCTAATACAAGCAACATAAGCATAACTGGGTATAAAACAAATAAAGTCATAAACATCAAAATATCAGCAGTTCATTTCAAAACACATATTCAAAACTATTTGTTACAAAAACAAATATACAATGAAAAGTAAGGTTTCTTACATGTTTATTACAAAATTTTGCAGAACAATTTGTCCTGCTCTTTTACATAAGGCAAAATGTCAAAGTCTTTGACTTACGCTGATCAAGAATATACAACAATGACACTTTTTATGTTTGGATTATTGAACTGTCGTTACTTGTATCCTTATATTAGACTAAAATAATATTACAACTGTATGTATTTATGTGATGTAAACAAAACGTACTTGAAAATCAGCCACAATAGCTCAGGATACACCTGTCTAGTACACACTGAAGTTGTTGCCAGAAATGAGGGTATATTAAGGAGGCTTCTTATCAGAAGTTAGTAAAATGGCTTTATAGAAAAAAGTAGCATTAAGATACCGGTATCCTTCTGTGATTGAATATTGCCTTCAATTTGACTGTTAGAAAGTCCCATAACTCTGGACATACTAACCAGAAAATCTTCAAAATCAAACACAAGCTTGCATTCACCAATACCAACAACAGTGTAAAGTATGTAGATTTTTGATCCAAGCATACTATAATAGCTAGTGCATGACTTGTAAAAAATTGCTTAAATCTGAAGGTTAAAGTCAAATCTTCGAGAGAAAAAATAAAAACAATTTATAGCCCTAATTTTACTGTTTTTGACATTGTTGCATTTGGGTTTCTGAGACCAAGTTAAACCCTGGTAGTTTAGATGGATTTATTGACATTAGGCTCTGTCTAGTTAACAAGATATCTGAAGCTAGTCCAACCCTAATGGTTCACAATAGATTATTGACAAGGTTCTGTTTGGTTCACAAGATTTCTGAAGCTAGTCTAAGCCTGGTGGTTCACAATATATTATTGACAAGATTCTGTTTGGTGCACAAGGTTTCTGAAGCTAGTCTAAGCCTGGTGGTTCACAATAGATTATTGACAAGATTCTGTTTGGTTCACAAGATTTCTGAAGCTAGTCTAAGCCTGGTGGTTCTGGATAGATTTATTGACAAGGTTCTGTTTGGTTCACAAGATTTCTAAAGCTAGTCCAAGCCTGGTGGTTCTGGATTGAATTATTGACAAAGTATTGTTCAATTCACAAGATTTCTAAAGCTGGTCCAAGCCTGGTGGTTCTGGATAGATTTATTGACAAGGTTCTGTTTGGTTCACAAGATTTCTAAAGCCGGTCCAAGCCTGGTAGTTCGGGATAGATTTATTGACAAGGTTCTGTTTGGTTTACAAGATTTCTGAAGCTAGTCCAAGCCTGGTGGTTCTGGAAACAAACCTGTGTACCTGCTCTCTTAAACTGGGTCATCTGAAAATAAGTAGACAGACGTTTTTAAGTATTTTCATACTTAATAATACCAAATAAACATACCCACTCTTATGTCAGTTCAAAGTTAACACAACAATTGTTACAATCAAATATGTCATAAAAGTTTTTTAATAATGAGGCCCTACTTTTTCATAGGAAAGTTAAAGCAGAAAAATACCAAGCAAAAAGAAAACTTTACAGTTTACATCGTGGTAAGTTTCAAACAAGCAATTAAAAATAATTGTGTAAATATCTATATCTATTACCAATTCCATGTCCTTATCTGTTGAGAATACAATTATATTAATTACCTATGTAACAAGGATACAATTATGCTCATTACCTGTCTATTAATATCACCTATACACAGCCAGTCACCGCCATTTTTTGACACAGCCCACTTAGAATGGTCTTTAGATGTTTTGAATGCAATGCCTTCATCTGGGAATATCATTGTCTCTATATTGTATACCTGAAATTCACAATTAACATTAGATTATCTGGGAATATCATTGTGTTTATATTGTATTCCTGAAATTCACAATTAACATATTTCTTTTCTTACTATTTCAGTGCTAAATCCCATTCGGTCCAATCATCTTTGAATAAATTTGTGCAAGATGACAATTATTACGAAGTCATAATTGCAGGAAAGCAAGTCAGATTTTGCTATGAATTTGTCCTTGCTCCTTTTGCAGTTATAATCCTTTAGTTGTTGACCACAGCAGTTTCTGTCTAAAAGTCAAGACCATTATTTTTATCATTATTAAAACAACTATCAAAATGAGAAATAGCAATACCGTAATCGGGCTTGTATAGTTCGCATTGGTACATAGTTAGCACCCATTCCTCCCCACGAAATTTCAGGTAAAAAAACTTTTTGTAACTGTTAGAAAAGGTCTAATGAAACTCCGGTAATTTTAAATAGTGTGTGGTCGTTTGAGGTATTTTCTTGGAAAAACCTATTTTCCATCACCAAACAGAAGCTGAAACTGCTTGTAAATGGTTCTAAAACACTTCACGCTGGTTTAAATAAGTCTAAATCACACAAAAAAACAATTTAGAAACTTGTGTATGTTTAAACTGGAAGTTTGAAAAGCATGTGTAAAAGATGAAAAACCCAGTGAGAGTCAAAATCTGTACATAATAGATATCACTATAATACGACTTTGAAAGTAAAAAGGTTCCCTCCTTATGTAAAACGGTGTTTAATATATCTATCACATTAATGTTTGAAGGGTCTTAAGCTAATACAAAACATATTTGTCAATAGGAAACACCAAAACAGAACGAATAATAACCGATTGTATGTATGTACTTCGAGATTCCGCCAGTGTAGACGCACCCCTTGATTGACTGCAAGGGTACAGCGGATCCATTTACACTCCCTAAGGATTAATGGAGATGTGTCCTTTACAATATTAACCAACCACCAGAATAATCCCCACCCCAACACCGCCCAAGGGAACGTGTAGGACACCAGGAAGTCTGTTATTATGGTGGAGGAAGCCAAAGTACTCGGAGAGAACCACAGGGCTTCTCGGCGGGAACAGACAACCCGGAGAGATTTCAGAAGATTGATCTCCAGGTCAAGCTGGGAACAAATTTGACCTACCGAGGCCCCCGAAGTATCCAATCTAGTTTACCAGATACCAGAGATGTGTGTGGGAGGGTGAAAATCACCCTACTGATGTACTGAAAATTCGACGTCTCGAGTGAGAATCGAACTCGGGACCTTCAGCACTGTAGCCAACGGTATTAACCACTAGACCACGAACCCACACAACATTAGGTAGCAGATTACGTTTTGTAGTCTACACATCGTAAGCTGGTTTACGGTTGTCTTTTTTTACTTTTTTTGTACGATTTCATTCAAGCAGATTCCAGTTTAAATTTAGCAATGCATTGAAAAGAAACGAGAATTTTGTAATGAAGCATTTAATTTTTAAATTTATCAGTATTAATTTGATATTGAATAAAAATAACTTATTAATATGGATTGGGTAAAATTGTTGGTTTGAAAAATGATAAGAGCGCCCTCTACAATGTCAATAACAAACATGGCGGAACGTAAACAAACCACATCGTGAAATTACAAGCCTTTTAACGGTAGTCCTCTGTTATTTTGATACACAGGTTATTTCTTAGTATTTCATGAGATTTTTTGTCTGGTGTATATTCAATAAAAAATACTTTCACCCCAATGATTACCTTGTACTGTATAGAACATTAGATAGCAGACCTTTGTGTGCATGTACTCTCGATGTCTCTTCAAGCTTATAGTGTAACACAAATGTAGACCGTGTGGAGGGTTACTGACCTTGTATTGTATAGAACAGTTAGATGGCATATAGTTCTGTGTATAACCATGTACTCTCTGGTGTAACACATATATAGAAGGATTGACCGTGTGGAGAGTTACTGACCTTGTATTGTATAGAACAGTTAGATGGCAGATCATTGTGTGTAGTACAATGTTATCTCTGGTGTAACACATATATAGACAGATTGTTCGTGTGGAGGGTTACTGACCTTGTATTGTATAGAACAGTTAGATGGCAGATCATTGTGTGTAGTACAATGTACTCTCTGGTGTAACACATATATAGACGGATTGACCTTGTGGAGAGTTACTGACCTTGTATTGTATAGAACAGTTAGATGGCAGATCATTGTGTGTAGTACAATGTACTCTCTGGTGTAACACATATATAGATGGATTGACCGTGTGGAGAGTTACTGACCTTGTATTGTATAGAACAGTTAGATGGCAGATCATTGTGTGTAGTACAATGTACTCTCTGGTGTAACACATATATAGATGGACTGATCGTGTGGAGGGTTACTGACCTTGTATTGTATAGAACAGTTAGATGGCAGATCATTGTGTGTAGTACAAGGTACTCTCTGGTGTAACACATATATAGACGGATTGACCGTGTGGAGAGTAACTGACCTTGTATTGTATAGAACAGTTAGATGGCAGATCATTGTGTGTAGTACAATGTACTCTCTGGTGTAACACATATATAGATGGATTGACCTTGTGGAGAGTAACTGACCTTGTATTGTATAGAACAGTTAGATGGCAGATCATTGTGTGTAGTACAATGTACTCTCTGGTGTAACACATATATAGATGGATTGACCTTGTGGAGAGTTACTGACCTTGTATTGTATAGAACAGTTAGATGGCAGATCATTGTGTGTAGTACAAGGTACTCTCTGGTGTAACACATATATAGATGGATTGACCGTGTGGAGGGTTACTGACCTTGTATTGTATAGAACAGTTAGATGGCAGATCATTGTGTGTAGTACAATGTTCTCTCTGGTGTAACACATATATAGATGGATTGACCGTGTGGAGAGTTACTGACCTTGTATTGTTTAGAACAGTGTGATGGCAGATCATTGTGTGTAGTACAAGGTACTCTCTGGTGTAACACATATATAGATGGATTAACCGTTTGGAGAGTTACTGACCTTGTATTGTATAGAACAGTTAAATGGCAGATCATTGTGCGTAGTACAAGGTACTCTCTGGTGTAACACATATATAGACGGATTGATCGTGTGGAGGGTTACTGACCTTGTATTGTATAGAACAGTTAGATGGCAGATCATTGTGTGAATAACCATGTTCTCTCCAAGTCTCTACCAACAAATCTTCTTGTAATGCAGTTGACAGTAGACCATCATATAAATCTGTAGAATATTGCAATTAGAATAATTTATGAAAAGCAATAGTTTTATTATCAAAGACTTTTTCCTTATTTTCTTTTTGCAATTCAAAGGTCAATTATTTAGTAATCCCATATTATGCCTTTAAACTACTTTCAATAAAAAACCAGCCTGCATATTGATTTTAAATAAATGGAGAATGTGTCCATGGACACAGATAATGCCCCCACTTGCATATAACGTTATAAAGGGACATAACTAAAGAACAATAAAAGTGACGCCACCCAAATTCAAACTTGATCTGTGTTTTATGGTAATAAGCATTGTGTATAAGTTTAATAGCATTTGTTTGAGGCAATCTAAAGTTAGAGAACAGAAACCAGTTTTGGGACGTACATACGTACGTACAGAAAGACAAGAGTAACACTTAATGCCCCCTTCGCCTAGCGGCAGGGGCATAAAAAAAAACAGGAACATTTGGCAACTTATTTTTATTACCTTTATATGTAAAAGCATATATCAGCAAAACTCATCAATACTAACATTGTTAATGTTATTGTATTAGACTGTTCCATATTCATATTACAATTTAGCTTTATTATAATGGAAGGATTAAAATATTCTGAAAACAATTAATCAATCAAATATTTTGAATTATTGTAAACATTTAGAGTTGAAATAAGAGCTTTTTATTGTATAGTGACATATTATTTCTCTTGGAATGTAACGAAAAGTAAGCGTGCAATACTCTGTGATATTGCACTTTTATAGTGCATCAGTGACATATATGTTTTTAAACATTTTTTCAAATTTTGCTATACAAACAAAGGGTTATTGCATGACTTTTGGTGAATAGTATCCCTTATAGAATATATTTTGCACTTGCAACCTCATGCGATATAAAAAATCTACACGTGACAATAATTATGCACTGATTTTTATAGTTTGTTCTCATGTTGTGCTGTTACACCACTGTCCCAGGTTAGGGGAGAGTTGGCACGCCCACAAAAATGTTTAACCCCTCTAGATTCTGTATGTGCCTGTCCAAAGTCAGGAGCCTGTAATTCAGTGGTTGTCTTTGTTGCTGTTAATCATATATATTTTTTTTTTTTAGACCTATAGTTGCTAACCTTCTACGTCATTTGGTCTCTGGTGGACGGTTATCTCATTGGCAATCATACCAAATCTTTTAATTTTAATAATAACCCGATAATATAATATCTCCCATCTTGTAAATGAAATGTGAAAAAAAAATGTTTTAGCACAATATGTTTGGAAAATTAATGCCAATTGCAAATTTCATATATAATTTTAACACTGTAAGTTTTGCAGTTTCATAACTTAAAGGATTATTACTTCATTGGTAGAATATCCATTGTTTATGACATTGTCAGTACGTATTGGTATTTACTTTTGAAAATATTACCCAGAATGCATTAGACTCTGAACCCGTTAAATGGAGTACTGAAAAAAATAAGCTCTACAAACCTTTATGGAAATCTCTAAACTTCTCATAACTCATAAACTTGTTATTTCCCTTAGATATGATCTGTGTAACATTGTACCATGGTGGATCCATGACATGATGTTGTTTAGGGCCGAGGATCATATTAGATAACACTGGGTTGTCAGCACTAAACACACTAGGTAAAGACGTGTCATATATCTTTGGATAAGTATACATGAACACAGAACCTACAAACATACAATAGAACATTTTATAGTTATTGAATCTTCTCATAAGCAAATAACAAATGCTGAGAATAAATTATGCAGGAGTTATCACCATTTTGTTACTCATTTCTATATTTAAATACTGTTGACATTTAGGGTATGTCTCTCCTGTGTGTAATTTTAAGAGTATAATGCTAATTGTGAAATCAAAATGTCAAAACTTTAAAATGGATACTAGGCAAAAATTTCAAAGTCAATAGACCATCAATAAGGGGTGGGGCCATATAATCTCCATGGATGGAAATAGATGTGCTTATGCTAATGCAACTGCATAACAAATACCAGTATCATTGATTTACCTTTAGCGATTCAGCTTAAACTGACCTGATCACAAACTAATAAATGGTAATAATGCAAAACATTCAAAGTCAATGAACCATGACTGAAGCTGTAGGGCCAGATAATCTCTGTGGGAATGAGATATGCCAATTCTAATACAACTGCATACCAAATACAATTCACTTATCATAATTATAAGTGGTTCCGTTAAGACAGACCCTAACATAAAACTTTAATATGTAAAATATGCAAAAGTGTCAAAGTCAATCAACCCTGACCTTATCAAATACTCATTCATTGTTGACTATGCAGTGGCCAGAGAACAGTACACCTATAAGTCTTGCCTCCACTACTTCATAGAGGTGAGACAATGAAACAAGAGGCTCTCAAGAGCCTGAATCGCTCACCTGTATTTCAGAGGAGAAGATTTTTAAATGTTAGCAAACTTGATGAACAAATTGTGTAAAATTGTCTTTAAAGGGCAATAACTCCTTAAGGGGTCAATTGACAATTATGGTCATATTAACCTTTTTTGTAGATCTTACTTTGCTGAACATTATTGCTGCTTACAGTTTATATATATCTATAATAATATTCAAAATAATAACAAAAAACTGCAAAATTTTGTTAAAACTACCAATTCAGTGGCAGCAACCCAACAATGGGTGTTCGATTCATCTGAAAATTTCAGAGCTGACCCATTGAACAATTTACCCCATGTCAGATTTGCTCTAAAAGCTTTAGTTTTTGAGATATAAGCCAAAAACTGCATTTGACCCCTATGTTCTATTTTTAGCCATGGCGGCCATGTTTGTCGATGGATCAAAACTTCGGATACAATTTATAAACTAGATACCCTAAGGAACATTTAGTTAAAGTTTGAAGGTATTTGGCCCAGTAGTTTTAGAGGAGAAGATTTTTTAAATAGTTTACGATGACAGACGACGACAGACGACGACGACAACAGACGCCAAGTGATGGCATAAGCTCACATGGGGCCCTTCTGGCCCCGATGAGCTAATAAAATGATGTTCTGTTATGAGCACTTTACTCCCACATCTACAGTATTCATTCTCTTATAAGCATAATATTTTTCTGTTTATTTTTTAAATTTGTTATACAGTCTTTAAAGTTGACTATAAACATTATAAAGTATGGTTTTTGCTCATTGTTGAAGGTCCTAAGGTGACCAATAGTTGTTTAAATCCACGTCAATTGGACTAGTGTTCTCATTGGCATTATTATCATATCTCTTAATTTCATATCAAATAGAGGGTTTCATTCACACACATATTTTTAAATTGCACTTGCAAAATCCCAAAATTTAAGTACCTTTGAATTTAACTTTGTTGAAGAGAAACTTGTATCCCCAACCTACCAAATGTATAACATTCACTTAGTATTTTTGTTTCATCATTTTCAAAACTGATGGTTGTTTCTTTAATAATTTCATTACATGTATGTTTCATCAGAATCTGTCATTTTGATTGGCTGATAACAATCGTGAGGAACTCAAATGTCAAACTTTATTTCCGTATAAATTACAATAGCTATGACTGCACTTGTTATTCGTGACAATGTTAAAATAATGAATAAAAAAACATACGAAAAACTTGATATAACTCTAGTTGTAGAATAAAAATGTATTTATAAGAATTGAATGCTTCATTTAATTATTTGTTAGGGTTGTAAAAGCATTGATCGTGCACACATTTTTAATATGAAGCACTTCCACGCTTCATACAAAATGTGCTATGGTTAATGCTTTTACACCCCAATAAAATTTTAAAAAGTAGCATTCAATTCCTAAATATGGTTGAAGAAAACTTTAAATACCTTACCCATTCTGTCCATCATATTATAGTTCATGGAAATACAGAGAAACGTCTGACCGAAGGTACAGGCTGACTTAGGCCAGGAATATCCATCTGACTTCATTGGTGGAAATTCTGGTGTACTGTGTACCAACCAAAACCCCCCTGTCTTATCAAATGCTACTGTCCCTGCAGAAAGTATATACAAAGATTATGGCATGCAAGAAAAACAAAGGTAATGTTGTCTTGTTTTTCATAAATTTTTCTGTAATAACCTAACGTGAACAATATTGAAGAATTTAAAAGAATTTGTTGATTACATCTTGAGGAATCTGCTAACAATCTACATGAAATGTATGACTGCTTAGTTGACATTAAAAGAATTAATCCTTCTTTGTTTGTTTCCCTTACCCAAGTAGCAAGCAAGAGATTTTAATATAAAACCTGCAGTTGGTCTGCATTCAAAACTTCGCTTTCCAGATAAGCAAAGATGTTTATATCTCAACTTATAGTCCCAGCCACACTTTAAGGTCTTGGAAGTGGTCCAGTGAGGGATTTATGAAAAGAGACGACTACAAGAAATTATACCAAAATCAAGACACAATAAATGAATAGAATTTGAAGTGACTACCATCTTCCAACAGTTTATTTAATTAGTATAATTCTTACCTTTAGAATGTCCATGGTTTAGACTAGGGCTCTTCTTTGGTGCCTGATCATTGTACATTATGTAGGCAATGGTGGTCTGTAAATAAAAAAACCAGATTTTTACCAAATATAGTGGTCCTATCTCTTATAGTACCTGGGAAACAGATCAAACCGCAAAATCTTAACATTGACCAATGAACCATGAAAATGAGGTCAAGGTAATATGAACCTTGTCAGACAGACATGTACACATTTCAATCATTCCATACACCAAATATAGTTGACCTATTGCTTATAGTAACTGATAAATATAGAATGATGGAATATTTATTTTTGATACTGACTTTATCAGCAAGAATATCAAGTGAGCTCGCTAGGGCTAGCTGATATTGGAGCTGATAAAGTCTGTATCAAGAAATAAAATGCCATTATTCTTTTTATCTGCAATTTGTCTTAACTGTGTTTTTTTGTTGTTGAGAATATGAAATAAAATGAAAAAGTTAGTAAAAATATTTTTAAGAGTACAAAACGTTGTGATAGTTGTTCGGTTGTATGAATGAAGCATTTCATTGATAAATTGACGCAGATATACAAAAACATGTGACGTTGCTGCACTGATACATGACGTCATAGCCTAATATTTTCGAGTATCAAGTCCTGTCCATGATCTTAAAAATATTAGGCAGTAAGATCAAAGGGAAAATTTACAAGTTGCCGAAACACAAAAAAACATTCACCAATGAACCATGAAAATGAGGTCACGGTCAGATGAAACCTTACAATAAAATTTAGTTGACCTACTGCTTACAGTATCTGAGAAATGGAAATAATCATGTGACTTTAACCTTGATCACTGATCCATAAAATGAGGTCAAGGTCAGGTGAACCCTGTCTGACGGACATGGAGACCTAGCAAGGAACCCATACACCAAATATAGTTTTCCTAATACTCATATTTAGTGAGAAATTCACAAAACAATAAAACTAAACTTTTTTATCAAGCAGTCACTTAACCATGAAAATGAGGTCAAGGACAAAGGAAATATGACAGACAGAAACTTTGTACCATAAGGCATCTGTAACCAAAATATGAAGCCTCCAGGTCTACTACCCTCTGAAATATAAAGCTTAATACAAATAGTTTATGCCACCAGATTGTAATCTCTATGTCTTGCATTCTGCAAATTTTGTCGCAGGCAAGACAAAAAAGCAATTATTTTGTTATGTATTTGTAATTTGCAGTCTTTTTTTTACCAGTTGTGACCTTGACCTTTGATCTTTTGACCAGAAAATCTATAGGATTCTTCCCAATCTCTATATCTTCCATCTATAAAAGTTTAATTTTTAACCAACAAACCACGCCACATTCTTTATATGCCTGTCCCTAGTCAGGAGCCTGTAGTTCAGTGGTTGTTGTTGGTTCATGTCTGTCATATTTGTTTTTCATAAGTTGTTTTGTTATAAATTAGGCCATTAGTTTTCTCAATTGAATTGTTTCATATTTTTCATGTTGGGGCCTTTTATAGCAGACTATGCGGTATGGGTTTTTCTCATTGTTGAACGCCGTACGGTTGCCTATAATTGCTTACATCCACTTCATTTGAACTTTGGTGGATAGGTGTCTCATTGGCAATCATACCACATCTCCTTATTTTTATATATATAACTGTAAAAGTGATGCCACCCAAATTCAAACTTGATCTGTGTTTTATGGTAATAAGCATTTTGGTTGAGGCAAACTAAAGTACAAGAACGGAAACGGAAAATTCAGCAATTTGGATGTACTTTTGCTAATGCCAAAAGTTACATACATGTTTACTAAAACAGTGTTTATCTTTAATATGCTTCAAATTTAAGTTCAGTACCAAAAAGTGAGTGACAGGCAACAGGAAATACATACTACCGTATTTATCTAGCCCAGGGTCTCTTCCTTTATGAAAGTATACACAGACATTCAGCTGGAATGGGCCCCTTTTTAAAATGATAAATATATCAATGAATTGCTATTTCACCAATTTTTTTTTTTGAAATCCCAATAGCAAGTTTATTCCCTAAAACCCATGTTGAGAACCCTGTGATCCTAGTCTAGGAAAATAGGGTATTCCTATAAAATTACTTTTCCATAGGTATAAACATCTATGTCATTTGGTCTCTAGTGGAAAGTTGTCTCACTGGCAATCATACCACTTCTCCTTATTCTATATCAAGTAAATTGATGTACAGATAGGTCAAAACAATCTTCTTGTGTTTTTTCAATAATGACTGAATCTTCTATATCCTATATTGTTGCTTTATATTTGCTGTTATGCCAGTCTGTCTTTGGTTAGAACTTATTTAAGGCCATACTTCTTAAAAATGACCCTTCCTGAGCACCCAAGTTCACACCTGGTTTTTGGTGGTGATTGTGTTGCTCAGTCTTCTATTTTCTGTTAAGCGTTTTGGTTTGCAATTGTTGAAAAGTTGAATTGATTACGTCATGTTTAATGTTCAAATCATGTGGTATAAACTGAAACCCTGGTTTCCCCCTTTAATCAATGAATGTGTCACTGTCGAATGCAATGACTGCCTGTAACCAATGCTTAAATGATTGACAGAAAGGTCAACCAATTCTGTTGGGCATATTTTGAGTTCTGTTTTATACCTTCTGATTTGGCCTCTGTCCAACCCATTACAATGTGTTTTGGCATTTACACGGTTTAAACTTAAGGGCCTAAAATGTTTTTCTGCAGTTGATTCTTTGGTATTTCTATATATGGGAAACATTTATGGCATGAATTTGTCTGCCATGGCATGTGCAAACTTGCTTAGCAGTTGACATTGCAGCTGTCAACATGTCTTACAAATGACATTGCGTAATTAATTTTATTGAAGTGGTGTTGTTATACATATTGATCTGGTCATGGGTGGTCATCAACAAGTCTGGTCTGCCTTTACCCTTGTTTTAAGGACAGTAATAGGAGTTTCTAACAACAGCACGTTTGCGTATTCCTGCCTGCAATATTCTTACAGCCCAATTAAGATTTCAGGTAAGTCAGGTATTGAAATTTTCTAAACAGAAGGAAGTAAGGTACCCATGAATTGTAGTTTTATGAAGATTAATCATGATTTGGTAAAAAAAATAACCATAATGTGTGTTGCGTTTTTAAAGTCCATAAGTATAATAACATGGGGAGATAAAGGGTTAGTAGCTTTCTAATATATACGAAATATATGCGACATAGCAAATGTCATACAATGTATGTCCCAAGTCAGAAGCCTGTCATTGGTTTCTGTCTTTTATTTCTGTTTTTCATTGATTGCTTTGTCATCAGTCACGATGTTGGTTATTTCATGTTTGGGCCTTTTATAGCTGACTATGTGGTATTGGTTTATCCCTTTTATTAGATAATAATACAGATGTCTATACCTTGTTGTCGTAAATCTGTTGTAAGGTGTTATATACTGCATGACCAGTGTCATCCATGCCTTTATCAGATAAAACCAGTGATGGATTATTTTGGTCCATGTAATAAAACCCTCTGCCTTCATGGAGGACTGGAGTTTTACCATGTCTCAATTCTGGTAACTTGTAAACAGCAAACCTGAAAAATAATTTGTACATGGTAGACAGTAATTAGTAAATCTGTCAATGGATAATCGAGGGTATTTATATAAGATGTATACACAAGAATGTGAAATAAAATTGACATTTAATCCTGATGCATCTATAGATATATTTTCTGCTTGAACAGTGCATTAAATCTGGCAATCACATTGCAAAAAAACCTAATACATCTTGTCATGCAGATAATTTATACATTTAACCTAACAACCTATTAGTTTAAGAAAAAATGGCAAATAAATGCCAAAAAAGTTAAGAATCAACATTTCAGGGGTAATAACTCCAAAACAGCTGGACAGATTTTTTTCAAAATTGGCAGAGTAGATAGAACTGGTTATGTTGACCATTTTGACCCTGTCATTTTTTCTCTAATGATTTGCAATAACTTTAGAGATATTAACTATTGTTTGACCCCTATGTTCTATTTTTAGACATGGTGGCCATGTTGGTGGTTAACTAGAAAAAAATCATCACTTTACAAATGAAGCATGCAGTCAAACTTTGGTTTTAATCCATTGAGCAGTTTCAGAGGGAAAATTTTACAGACGAATAACAACAGAAGACGGACCCAAAGTGATGACATCAACTCACATGGCCCTTCAGCATGTTCAGGAGTTTAAGCACAAGGGGTCTCTTCCTATGGAAAGGGATACACAGACTGGAATGGTCAAATATATCAATGGGGTGCTATTTCACCAAGGAAATATATCAACCGGTCATAAATTTTTGTCTGATTAGAAGTCTCCATGGTCTGTTTATACTCTGTTTAAGTGTCTGATTAATATGAATAAGCACATGTGATTAATGAAACTTAAATTAATTTCCACTTCCTTGGGGGACTAAAAAGGATGAAATTGTTTCTAAAATTCAATTTTACTGCTGTAAATATATTTGTGTGTGACTAATTATAAATAACATGTGGTGGGAAAGAGAGAGAAAGCATAGTCTAGTGAAATATGATACAGAGGATATAGATGATTATACTATTTACAAACATCATCCCTGAGCACCCATGTGATTCCGGTATGATATGTACTAAACTATGTTTCCAACAACCATATACAAATCAAGTATATAACATAATTAACACAAGTGAAATAATCATTTTAAGTTTATATTAGTTGTCACAGATTGTATATGTGATGATGATGATGATGATGTATGGCTGCTTAACGTCCAGCAGCAAATTAATATGCATATTCAGGATGAGAACATGTTAATGTAACATGAATATTAACCCTGCTTTGTACTAGAACAACACACTGAGCCAGATTTTTAACGTGCTAGTTATAAAGGTAACAGTCCGCAGGAAGACATGTCACCTTACCCGAACACATTATTCTGACTCCGAGCTGACCAGCTATTGCTCTTATTCCTTTAAGCCATGTGCTTAGCGGAGAAGCAGCAAATACCAATTTTAAAGTCTTTGGTTTGACCTGGCCGGGTTCTAATCAAAGACCTCCTGCACTCGAGGCAAACACACTACCACAAGATCACTGAGGCGGTGACTGTATATGTGAAAACTGATAAATATTTGAATGGCTTATAATTTTGCATTGAAGTACATAAGGGTAGGGATTTCATCAAAACTTCACTACTGTAAATGAAATTCAGAATTGATTGAGAGATTTTTATTAATGCAATATCTCAATAATAAGAGCTCAGATTCTGAATTCAATACATTTATCCATGTGCAGATTTGCCTGAAATTGCATTAACTAATCTCGCATTTTTTATCAATTCTCAAAAAAACGCAATAATAAATGCACACAATAATTTCTTAATTTACAATATATATATGAATGGGGAGTGTTTTTTAAATCCCAGCTACACTTCTGTACCTAAAATATTGTGCTCCTGTGAATCAGGGTGATTGTTGGTGATTAAGGGTTACAACTCTCTATTTACATGATTTAAATCCCTGTGAAGCAGGGTGATTGTTGATGATTTGGGAGTGACAGCTCTCAATTTAAATCATTGTGAAGCAGGGTGATTGTTGGAGATTTGGAAGTGACAACTCTCTGTTTGAATCAGTGTGAAGCATGGTGATTGTTGATGATTTTGGAGTGACAACTCTGTTTAAATCACTGTGAAGCAGGGTGATTGTTGGTGATTTGGGAGTGACAACTGTCTGTTTTTTAAAATTGCTGTGAAGCAGGGTTATTGTTGGTGACTTGGAGTGACAACTCTGTTTCAATCAATGTGAAGCAGGATAATCGTTGGTGATTTGGGAGTGACATCTCTGTTTAAATCGCTGTGAAGCAGGATAATTGTTGGTGATTTGGGAGTGACATCTCTGTTTAAATCACTGTAAAGCAGGATGATTGTTGGTGATTTGGGAGTGACATCTCTGTTTAAATCACTGTGAAGCAGGATGATTGTTGGTGATTTGGGAGTGACAACTCTCTTTTTACATCACAGTGAAGCATGGTTATTGTTAATGATTTGGGAAAGACAATGCTCTTTTTAAATCACTGTCAAGCAGGGCATTGTTAATGACTCAGGATTGAAAACCATCTGTTTAAATAAGAGTGAACCAAGGTAATTGTTGGTGATTTGGGAAGGACAACTCTGTTTGAATAACTGTGAAGCAGGGTGATTGTTGGAGATTTGGAAGTGACAACTCTCTGTTTAAATCACTGTGAAGCAGGATAATTGTTGGTGATTTGGGTGTGACAACTCTCTGTTTGAATCACAGTGAAGATGGGAAATTGTTGGTGATTTGGGAAGGACAATTCTGTTTAAATAACTGTGAAGTGGAGTGATTGTTGGTGATTCGGGAGTGAAAAATGTTTGCTTTAATCACTGTGAAGCAGGATGATTGTGGGTGATTTGTGAGTGACATCTCTCTTTTTAAATCACAGTGAAGCATTGTCATGGTTGGTGATTTGGAGTGACAACTCTGTTTGAATCACTATCAAGCAGGTGATTGATGGTGATTTTGGGAGTGACAACTGTTTAAATCCTTTGAAGCAATGTTATTGTTGGTGATTTGGGAGTTACAACTCTCTATTTAAATCACTGTCAAGCAAGGTTTTTGTTGGTGATTTGGGTGTAACAACTCTCTATTTAAATCACCAAACAGGGTGATTGTTGGTGATTTGGGAGTGACAACTGTCTGTTTAAATAACTGCAAAGCAGAGTAATTGTTGGTGATTTGGGTGTGACTGCTCTGTTGAAATCACTGTGAAGCAGGGTTATTGTTGGTGATTTTGGGAGTGACAACTCTGTTTAAATCCTTTGAAGCAATGTTATTGTTGGTGATTTGGGTGTTACAACTCTCTATTTAAATCACTGTCAAGCAGGGTTATTGTTAGTGATTTGGGTGTGACAACTCTCTATTTAAATCAGTCAAGAAGGGTGATTGTTGGTGATTTTGGAGTGACAACTGTCAGTTTAAATTACTGTGAAGCAGGGTTATTGTTGGTGATTTTGAAGTGACAACTGTCAGTTTAAATCACTGTGAAGCAGGGTTATTGTTGGTGGTTTGGGAGTGACAACTGTCAGTTTAAATAACTGTGCAGCAGGTTGATTGTTGGTGATTTAGAAGTGACAACTCTCAGTTTAAATCACTGTGAAGCAGGCTGATTGTTGGTGATTTGGGTGTGACAACTCTCTATTTAAATCAGTCAAGCAGGGTAATTGTTGGTGATTTGGGTGTGACAACTGTCTGTTTAAATCACTGTGAAGCAGGGTGATTGTTGGGGATTTGGAGTGACAACTCTGTTTAAATCACTGTGAAGCAGGGTGATTGTTGGTGAATTGAGAACTGTCTGCTTAAATCACTGTGAAGCATGGTGATTTATATGAGTATTAATATTTATAATTTACTATTGTGTCAGTGTGTCTGGCTTTAAAATGAATGCCAACTTATTTTTGCATCGGAACCTTGAGACTAAAGACTGTCTTAAGAGTTGAAGGATGCACAGTCTGTGAGCTGAATGCTTCTTACTATCTGATTGGAAGATAATTACTGACTCTATAATAGTGAAGTTCGTTGATTGGTTGGGACAATCATAACCTAGTCAATGTCTGTTAATCCTGTAGTGTCGGATTTGAACTCTTTATTTTAGCAATCAGATTTTCCGTTTACCAATCATGCATATCGGTACACAGGTAACACTTTCATGTATCTATAAATAGCCGAAACTTCTAAAATTTTGTAAAAATATGACGTGATTATTTCACATTCAATCCAGTAGCACTGCCAAGTTATAGGTACAGTTTATACATGAAAACATAGGATAACACCGCACATACTTTTTTTGGGGTTATAGATATTTTTTCTTAGTAAGATAATCAAAAGGCAGCAAAAACATTGAAAACAGAGATATCCAAATCATTTACCGGTATTTTCAATTAATATTAGTTTACAATGGAATCTTTATCTCAGGGGGCGGCGGCACATCAACCTTTTTATGGTAGGGATGACTAGCTGAGACATCCAGTACCCCACCCTTTTCGTATATTTTTAATAACAAAAAAACCTACCATAGCTATCATACTTTTTTACAATAATTATACCTACATATAGCTATCATTGTTACGCTTTTCATGGGGAGATTAATAGAGTTGACAAATGTGTTAAACATTAACGACAGTAATTTTAATTGCATCTGTAAAAAAATATCGACATCTGATTAGTTTCAGATTCACAATCATCAACCTTCTTATATATTTCACCTAAATTTCTCTACCAGCGGCTCATTTCTTCCAGACATTATAATAAGTCCCCCCCCTCCACATACCCCAAGATCTTCAGGGGATCCGTTGTCTAGCTATCTCTAACTCTTCCTATCAAGATAGCAGACGTTAAAGAACAGAAGACAAAAAATAAAAACTCTAAAGGGGGATATATAAAGAAGAATTAAAAAAAACTACTCTCAGACAAGTAAAACAATTATACATGTATGCTAGCATATTTAAAGCAATATTTAATATTTATGCATGATTCAAAAGGAGATGTGAAGTATACATAATGTATTTAGAAAGCAACCCAATTATAAACAACAACAAAAAAAACAATATACTTCTAAAGTTCAACATACAGTCTTTTACAATGGACATGTCATTACATTATTTTAAGTTTTTTATCCTCCCAAGTCTAGCTTTAATATATAGCATAGTTGTGCATACATGTAAAAAATATCTTTATAGCAAACAATTCGTATTGCTGCTATCATTGCAAAAGTATAATGTTGACTTTAAAAAGTGAGTCCATTTATCAGTATAAAAAAACATAAAAAAAAAACTTTATAAACATACATATACTATGATCATAATCAAAAAAAGACATTTATATACATGTATGTATCAACATACGAACAGTCTCCCACAAAAGGTTATGTCAATCCAGTATGCCAAGCTTTGAAGGGCAAGTACGATAAGGGCCTTATTTGTTACCCAACATTAAATGGTATAGTAAATAAATATGAAGACATGTACAAGTAAAACAATAACAAACGAAACAGTATCAAACTGCATGCTTAATAAAGTTTTTTGGTAAAATTTGTTATGTTGATGGCCTCATAGTGAATCTAAAATAGCATTTCAGAACTTATCACCTTCTTAATAGCAAATGACATTATACAATAATATGATAATTTGAAAAAGAATGGCATAAAAACTATCTTTTGAATTTCAAGCGATTACAATAGGTCTTGTATAACACATTACCCTTTTGAGTGTTTTTTTTTTAAAAGTCCAATAAAACCAAATAATCTCAAAAGAGAAACATTTAATTGTAAGAATACACATTATTCAAATATAGAAAAACAGGCATTGGGCATTCTACATTGCAGTCCAACTACAATGAATAGACAAGATATTAAAAAAAAAAAAAAAGACCATACATATGTAAAGCTTTACATTTTAAGGATCATTTTTAAAAGATGTGAGATATCGTTTGAAAAAAATCATTTTATAAACCTATTATGAATGAAAAACATTCAGGTGGAAACGGTCATACTTTTCTAGGACATGAAAGAAATAAGCAAACAACCAAAGAAAAAGTAAACGAACAACATATCTGTTTAAAAAAAAAAAGATCGATAAAAAGGTACAAACGCAGATGAATAAGACATTACCCCTCCGTTTCCTGTGTAAATACATTCCCCAAAAAAAGATCTTGGTAAATCTAAAAAATTGTATAAGCCTTTTATAAGCTTTATAATCCACTACAATTTATATACAAGGCTATTCTGAATGAATTAAACTACAAAGCGAGAAACATATTCCACTTTCATCAGCTAAAGACAGTCAGCTTTTTAGAAAAGCTATTACTTGTCATGCTAATGGTTTCAATATTTACCTTTAAGTAAAGGTTATTTAATCACTAAGTTGATGTTTAATTGAATGTCATTCAATTGTTTTAATTTGAATTATTGATTTTATTGACATGTCAAATGCTTATGCCCTTTGGGGTGGTCCTTATTTGGAATAAAAATTTCTTCTATTTCTTCTATATAAATGTACATGCATGTATATATTATGTGAGTGAGAGCCTATTCTTGGTTTGTGACTTACTGCTCTGGATGTGTCCACACCTAACTATACAAACTTTAATTTTTAATAACATGAAATTGAATGTTGAACCATTAAAAATTAAATATTATTTTGCAAGTGACGTCTTTGTAAGTTAAGACCCCTTTTCCTAACAAACTGTCATAATGTTATATAACATAACTTTAATTTTGTCAGATAAATGGGCTTGGAGATATTAATTTGTTGTGAATCAGACACTCTTTAGGAAGAAATTACAGCTCCTGTGCAGAACTTTTAGTACTACCAGGGGAAAATATGATCCCACAACACAGTGTGTCATAGAATGACTAGGATTTAGTCCTATAATATATGCCTTCGCATTATATATTCACTATTTAACGTTTTCATGCTGATATTTTCATTTTTTTTTTGGGTGGCACATTGATAATAATAAAAAAAAAAAAAAAAAAGAAAAATAGCAAAATCAGTAAAAAGAAAACAGAAATAGAAAATAATTAATGCCCCCGAGTTCATATATTATAGGACTAGACTAGGATTCAGTTTATTGGTATAAGAGAATAACAATAAGTTTATAACAGGAAAAAAAGCCCTTGGGATTGCACTTGATTTTGATTGTCCCTACTATAATCAATTTGTATTCATGGATAAAATGATGATATGATGGTCTCTGACCTGGTTCCATAGTACAACCATTTATGTCCAAATAATTATGAAGTATTGTAAGGCTATTTTTATTTTTTGGATGTGACACCGTCCTACACTATTTAGACTAGATCAATAGGTGTCATCTGGGACATAATATATTGGCTATTCCCAGATGTCAGCACGATAGTCTGATGGATAACTGCATATCACACGAAGATGTGTCATAGTTCGCGTCAGATTGTTAGAATGAAGGTTTTCAAAGCTAAAAAAATCAATACCTTTGTTTTTTTTCTATTATAATTATCAAAATTCACTTACCAATCAACTGGTGATCCATTCTTTGAAAGACATTGCAAGCAATAACAAATTTCAATAAGTATGCATAATATTAAACTGTGAATAATAAGCTTCCTACTTCCCGCCATTGTGAAAGTAAATTCGGAAGTGGTTTACTCTATTGTACTTTCATTTTCGATTGGCCTCCTTTAAAAAGTGGAGGTCTAAAAACAAACAGCATAAAGTTTCCAAACTTGTAAAAAGCTGATTTAGAAAGTTTTTTATTTGGATAATGTTTGGTAATACAATATTAACTATTATTATTTAAAAGTCTGATTTAAATAAAATACGTTATAAGTTAGATTTATCAAATTGAGTTATCCCTCTTTGTACAGGTTCATTGCATATAGAAATAAGAAGATGTGGTATGAGTGCGAATGAGACAACTGTCCATCCAAGTCACAATGTGTAAAAAGTAAACAATTAAAGGTCAAAGTACGACTTTCAACACGGAACCTTGGCTCAAACCGAACAGCGAGCTATAAAGGGCCCCAATTTGACTAGTGTGAAACAATTCAAACAGGAAAACCAACGGTCTAATCAGTATATAAAAAACGAGAAAAACTTATGCACCACATCAACAAACGACAACCACTGAACAACAAGCTCCTGACTTAGGGCAGTAGCATACAAATGCAGCGTGTTTCAACGTTTTAACAGGCGCCAACCTTCATCCTAACCTGAAACAGTAGTGTAACATCACAACATAAAAAGACACACTATAAAATATCAATTGAAATGGCTTAACTCGATCAAAAAGACATATGTACAAAAACAATTAAACATACACTGAACGAATAAATTTGATCTATGATACAATATAAATACACTATTAAAAAAAAAGATGTAAAACAATGTCAGAAAGACAACTATAACCTGGGACAAAATGGCGTTAAATAAAATAACGTACACAGGTAAATTTAGCTATAAAAATTTTGTTGTTAGGAGTACGGAAATATTTCTTACAAAACAAATTAATTTGTTGTTCACAGTACGAGTACAGAAGTGAAAAGTTATCTTCATACGAAATACTTATCAAAGGTGGTGGTACATATTAAAAATAGTGAGACGAGATATTACACAAAATAAGCAAACATTGAATAACAAAAATGCATTACAAATTGTGTCAACAGGTCAAATTAACACGAAAGTACGATTTGAGAGTACTCGCAGTTCACTGAAAGCTAGACAGCAAAATACAATTAATAATAAAAAATCATGCATCAGAGACTAATAGATAAGTAAACAGAGAATTTATTACCTGCATGATAAAGTTAAAATATTTTGATGTAGCATTTCAATGTCTGAGTTTATTACTAATTCAAGTATTGTAGATACTGTATGTACGTTTTTAGATATTCGTTCATAACTCTTTTTAGACTGCTCGTGTATATTTTATGTCTATGTTAGATTAACTAAATAAATTGTATGTTTTGTAAAATTAAGAGGCGAGACTAAAATCTGAAATAAAGTATGACTTGTTTTGCCTTCCAATTGAATAAACTTTCTGTGATAATAAACAGAGTTTAGTCCATGAATATTCTAAGTTTTTAAAACATTACAACATGTTATTCAACTAATTATCTGGCTTCAATCTACTATTTGCATTCCTGTCAGTTATCTACTGTCTTTACAGAATATAACATTGTAAACTGAACATTGGAAGAAACAATAAGATGATCTTTTAATAAAGTAATTTTAAATATCATTTCATTTATTAATCAATAAAGGTTCCAAGTAAAGTTTATGAAAGATAATAAAAAAACATTAAATACTATCAAACATTTTAATGACTGAATTCATAACGAACATCTCAAAAAAAGTAACGCTACAGTACAAGTTAAAAAAAATAATTAAAAAAAATACTGATATTATATACTTTTTTTATTATTGTGACTTTATTTCCTGTGACTTTTTTTCTTCGTTCGCTCTAAATGAGCCTTTTAATTGAGAATAAAGAGTTTTTCTATGTTTGTAAGACCAGGAGATGCGTGTACCAAGTCAGGAATATGACAGTTGTTTTCCATTCGTTTGATGTGTTGAGCTTTTGATTTGCCATTTGATAAGGGACTTTCCGTTTTCAATTTTCCTTGAAGTTCGGTATTTTTGTTATTTTACTTTTTCGTTTTTATTTATTTTCATGAAATGTAATTTTCACTTCTCGATGATTTTTTAAGAAATAGTAAGTGTCAGCTGTACAGTACATTACACTCCAATCCAAGTTTTGATTCTATATATATATTGAAATATTTCCGTTCACATATGACATTGATTCTAAATGTCATATCACTGAATTTGATTTGACCCTCAGTATTTTCCATGTATTACACTGATACTCCTGTTTTAAAGTTTGTTTCTAAACATATTCATAAAGTTTCCCCCATTTTAATTTTTCTTTGGTAACGTAAAATTCTGTTAGATTAAAACACTAATATAGATGACTATTGCCTCTTTTTTATTTATTCCAAACATTTGAAGACGTTCCTACCGTTCTGAATTTCTACCAATTAACTTTCCAAAAAGTTAGATAGTCTAGACCTTAATGAATGTGGGTAAACATAATACTTTTATAACTTCATAACGACGGTAAATGAAGCTGTTTTTCTTTTAACTTCTATATCAGGTAATTTGATACAAAACAATGAGATGTGGCATGATTGACAATTAACCAACTGCCTATATCAGAGACCAAAGGTTGGAGGATGTAAACTACTGGTCACCGCACGGCCTTCGATAATAAGCAAAACCCTCAACCGCATAATAAGCTGAAAAAACCCATCCCGTTTAGTAAGCTATATAGAAACCATTCAAAGATGCAAACCAACGGCTTGATTTATTCTTAACCCTCCCCCCCCAAAAAAAAAATAACAAAAAAAAACAAGCAACAAACGACAACCACTCAATTACAGGCGCCTGACCTGGGACAAGCACACGAAGAATGTGGCGGAGTTAAACATGTTTGTGGGCGTTCAACCGTCCCATAACCTCGGGTAGTGGTTTAACAGTACAGCACAACATAAGAACAAACACTATAAAAATAAGTTGAAACGTCTGGACTCATCAGATCGACACTTAAGCACAAAAAATACTCTAACAAAAACTTTGGTTGACCAGGCGCGTAGCTGCCTTTACGCAAAAAATCATTTGCTTGCACATTTTTTTCACCAAAAAAAAAAATTCTGAAATTGAATTACGGATAGTCTTTTTAGTCTTTACAGATTATCGTGTCGGGCGGTGTTTAAAGCCCAAATCTTTGATGTCGTCTGTAGCAGTGACTAATAAGGAACTATATATCCTTCAATATTCGCAATCTTCTCAATTCTAATTACAATGCCAGTAACTACATCAACTACTGAACGGTCATTTAGTGCATTAAGGCGACCGAAAACTTATCTCCGTTCAACCATGGTACAGGACAGACTATCTTCGTTGGCGCTCATACATGTTCACAAAGAAATGGATATTAATAACACCGAGAGAGTTCTGCGATCATTTGCCTTGGCAAAAAATAGATATATGGACTTTCGATATTAACTATACTTTAAGTCTTACATGCAGTATTAACATTTAATAATACAGGCTCAATACAATCACCTTGAAAACATCTTAGATTTATATCCCTTACTTATAAGTCAAGACTTAAAAGTGGCCGTTAGATTTCGTATTCCCATTGTCCGTTCGTCCAAAAGACTATTGATTCACCTGGGGTATCTGTGTCCCAAATGACCTTCTACCGTTGTCGTAGAAACCTCTCCTTTGATTTGAGAATGACCTTCGTGAGACACACTACGGGTGTCTTGCAAGAAGCAGGAACTGCTTACCCTTTTGGCCGGAGCACCGGAGGTCGCCACATTGTTTTCTGGTTCCCAGGTTTGTCAATTGTCCATTGATTAACGCCTCGGTTGTCGACTCTTCCTGATCTTCCCGTTTTATAAATTTTTTTTTTATATTTGAAAATAACCATGTTAATAATATAAGCAGCAAATTACGGAACTCACTAGACTTTTACTATCGTTTCAAGAAAATATGGTATAGTAAGAAACAGACATGTTCAAAGCAGTCACTGTAATTACTCATATGCCCGGAGCTTCATGGGGATTCGCTTCCCTAGACCACCGTCTACGGTGCTGCCCTGAATCCCCGACTAGGGTGCTATCCTGGACCAGCTGGGGACTTTGGGCGGTCCATAGCCTCCTCCCTTGCCGAATCACTATAAAGTCCACAAGTATTCACAAAATAGGAGTTTGGGCGTGAATGTGATGTGAATTTCATAAGCATGACATACCGGGAAAATGACCGTAAAAAGTTATCATTTTCTGCATAAAATGGTCCAAAAAAAATTTTCGCCTCGCTTCGCTCGGCGATCGTTATGATTGCACTTTATTCAAGTCCAGCTACGCCCCTGGGTTCCTTACAGGCGGTGTTTGACATTCAAATAAAACAAATATATTTTGTGGATAATATATCAAAAGTTACCTTGACCTTTAATCTGTTGACCCCAAAATCAATCTGTTTTCCCCTACCTTATATCTGTATATTTTATAAACTTACATTCCAATGAAGCAAGGGAAACTTAAGCTACCATCTGGAAACCATTTCTAGTAACATGCAGTGACCTTAACCATTGACCTATTGACCCAAACATCAAATGGTTTCTTCCCCTTTAAAGTATTTTTGATCTGTACAAGTATGAAATTCATTTAATCAAGCGAGGGAAACTCAAGTTATCATCCGGAAACCATTTTTCCATTTTTATTCTCATGATTTCGAGTAACAGTGGTGCCCTTCCATCTGTACAAGTTTCATCCAAATCAAGCAAGGTATACTCAAGTTATCATCCAGAAACCATTTGTTTCGGATATCTGGACGGAAGAATACACAGACAAAGCGATTACTATATGCTCCTGAAACTATTGGGGACTATTACAATGAGCTATTTAGTATATGTCAATGAGACTGCAACCAAACGACACAAATAAACAAAATACATCTATAGACACATCATAAGCCCCATCTGACATAATAGTCATGTATTCCTTGGAGTTTCGGATACTTGTAATTGTTTACATTGTCAAAACAATACAGAAAAAAATCAATTATTATTCGACAATATATCGATATATAGGGAGGATCAAAACAAAACACCAAGTAAGACCAGTTGGATAGATATTTTATTCCTTCGGTACACGCATTGTATGCACTTCATCGTCCAAGATATATATAATCATTTAATTCTTCATCCATCCAAAGGACTACACGTATCATAGTCTGTGACAAGATTCACGAAAGCTGTCCATACTTTGTTGTTCTGGAAACAAACCTGACCACCTCCTCGTTTAAACTGGGTATCCTGCAATATAAAAGACTAACGTAAGTGGTAGTTGGTCCATCAATGAAATCTGCATCCGGATGTCTGGGATACACATGCAAAATTGAACTATCAACACTAGCTGATGACTGTACAGGGTATCATAACCAATGGCCAATGTACTTAACATTCTGTTAACATGCATTCCAATCGTGAATTCCTCTGCAATTCAAATTAATATATGTGCGTGTGTGTTTGTTCATATAGCAGAGTGCCTTGCGTAAAAATAATCGAAATATATAAACAAATAAATGTGATAAAATATATAACATATAACATTACTGCAAAAAGAAAACAAACAATTAGATATGCACAACATAGGTATCAATTACGAACCTTCCTATCAACTATATAGTAGTATTATGGTACGTGTTGGTCTCTTTATTGGAACACTCTTTTATAACACGTGACTAAAAGCAACTGTAACTTAAAGACAGGCCTGCAATAATTTAACGAAAATTAAGTCGGGAAATGCATCCGTTCCGACCGAAATCATTTTATGAACCAACACCTGCTTGCTTTGAACTTGAAAATTATCTAGATCTCACAAAATTTGAATTATCTAATCTTGATTTACGAAATAACTACTACAATTTCACTAAGGAACAACAACTAGGAAATATAAATAAAGCTTTGCGTAAACATTATAAAAAACTACTTCGCAATGCGAAATGTAGGGAGCTATTTCCAAAACCACCAATGGTTGCGTATAGTAGACATCGAAACTTAAAAGAAATACTGACTAGCTCGGTAGTCAAACCATGGTACAACATGAAGGACTGGGTCAGGACCCCTGAAGAAGCACCCACCCTTCATATGAGCCACGTGACATCATAGAGTTTGTCCTATTCTGTACTGCAGAAACACGATGTGTTGGGTCCTGGATAATAGGCAAACGTGGCTGTTAGGTACTTTCAGACATTCAACAACAGAAACAATACTTGTAAGTCATAAACATTTCAGTATATCTTACGATCAATATTTATCGTAGGATTTTTTGTGAAAAGAGCCACTGTATTGCAAGGATCCAGACCAGCAGTTGTGTCCTGGAGATATTTGCTATACAACTTCCATACCACATCTTCTTATATCTATAAACCTTTACTGAATGAAAGTTTGAAATTAATTACTTCTATTCAATTAGAAAACAAATTAATCCAACTAGTACTAATGACTTTCCGCGCTTTTTAGCCATTTAGACATGTTAAAGGTGTTAAAACATTTATCAACAAAGTTTCATGCTCAGCATTGACAATGTTCTTTGTGCCTTCTCATTTGTTTCTATTCACCAAGTATATATACAATGTATACACTAGTTCAGACTACTATAGTCTATTACAGCAGTTGATCTTAATCAACCTGATAATATAACCATCCTCATAAGATTCCCTTTTTTATTACCTGTCTATTGATATCACCTATACAAACCCAGTTACCACCAGGTCGGGATACTGCCCATTTTGAATGATCCTTTCCAGTACCAAACTGTACCGATTCAGTGTCTTTGAATGTTATCTCCTGGATATTGAATACCTAAAATCATAATTATTGGAACAAAATTAGTACAGTTATAATAAAAACATTGTGTCACTGCGGAACGTGATGTCCTTTTATTGGGAATATAATGTAAAAGAACGGATCATCTGTTGAAGATAAACAAAACATTCTTTAAATATATAGATGACGACATACAACATTCTTAGTATCAAGGTGACGATGTACATCATTCTTAACAACATTATTTGTATAAAGGTGACAATGTACAAAGTTTTAATATAAAACTGACGATGTACAAAGTTTTAATACAAAAGGTGACGATGTGCAACGCACTTAGTATAAAGGTGACGATGTATAATAAAGGTGACGATGTTCAACATTCTTAAGTTATAAAGGTGACGATGTTCAACATTCTTAAGTTATAAAGGTGACGATGTTCAACATTCTTAAGTTATAAAGGTGACGATGTTCAAAGTTTTTGATGTGAAGGTGACGAAGTACAAACATTCTTGATATGAAGGTGAGGATGTACACCGTTCTTAGTATAAAGGTGACAATGTGCAACTTTCTTTGTATAAAGATGACAATGTGCAACATTCTTACTATAAAGATGACGATGTACAAGATTCCATGTTGCATGCAGGTTGCTTGTACACACTCCAAACGTTTATCACGGTTTTCATTAATATTTTTGGGGACTAAATACCACTATATAGCTGCCACCTTTTAATTTTCATCGAGTTTACCGATAAGAAAAAATTGTAGCGATTCGTAAAAGTCTTATCTTTTCTGATGAGTGTGGGATCTGCATCTATAAAGGTTGATTCTCAGCGTTATCCTATTTTGTATGTACGTTAGTATAGAGTTTAGATTTAAGGATCTTAGATTATCGTGACCTAAATATAATTAATGTCAACTATACCTTATAGCCTACTGTACAATTTGATCCCATGTCGCCTCTTCCATTTTGCCAGGTTTCAACCAACAGTTCGTATTTCAGTCGAGAGGATAACCATCCATCGTATAAATCTAACAAATTATATACATATAGGTTACAGCATGTCGTTATGGCTAATTGAGTTTTTTTTTGGTCGCTTGTTCAATCTGTATTCACTTTTTAGTCTAAAAGTATTTGATATGAGCCATCTTCTTGTATTTTACTTCAAAACTTTCTATTATATAGTTTTTTTTGCTCGTCACATATAGTTCTCTCCTTGTACAAACCTATTAAAGATGAGAGATGGTTGTGCAACCTGTAGTTGTTTGACAAACTCTATGACATGTACTATGTATTCTACTTTTGGAAATGGCATGGTATAGGCTCAATTTTGGCCAAAGTACAAATACCTTTTTTTTTATTCTCAAATACTACCTTAACAATACATTTCTAAAACAATATGTGGAAATCGAAATATTAATCTATACTGAATTTGTACGATTGCCAATGAGACAACTTTCTACCAGAGACCAAATGAGGTAGAAGGTTGGCAACTATAGGTCACAGTACGGCCTTCAACAATGAGCAAAACATTTACCGCATATCAAATCTTCAATATTAACTTGTTATTTGTACAATGTATTTATGTGATTCTCTTTACTCTCTCCTCCTGAACATATCTTTACTAGATATTTTATTCCTCTTTTTAACTAGAGATTTGACAAATGAACTCGATCGTCCTGGTTAACATCTAAACGATCTCGAGGTATCTTTCAAAGCCTGTTGAAACAAAAGAATCTAATTATACATTAACCTTTGTGAAATTCCGCTGATTTGGCAAAACTTCTGAAATAATGTCTACCCTTGGATAGTAATAAAGTTTCATCAAACCAAGGTTCTTGCTTCACACGATTTTGACGTCCAGTCAGAATGCTGACCATGTTTGGATTTTCTCGGAAGTAAGAGTTTGGAAGCTGAGAATCATATACAGTTGGGTATGAATACAGAAACACTGAGCCTACAATAGAAAAAATAGTTGTTATCTTTATCTGTATATGTATACGAACCAGCAAATTTACTATGCACCGGATCGTCTAAAAACGACGATGCCACACAAATAGAAAAAATAACAAATGTCTAAAGATTTATGCAACTATCAGTATCGTTACACAAATCTTTAGACTTTTACATATCATTGAATATATAAATCATATAGCGTAAAACAAAATAGGCAACAACAAATACATTTCAGTTTGATGAATATCAATTCACTTATTCATAGTTTTAAGCTAGACTTTAATATGCCGTTTGTTTTTATGAAGTAGAAGGGTTGAGATCTGAACTTTTAACCCCGCCACACGTGTCTTTGCCGGTTTCATTGAAGGAACCACTTTAGTGTTTGTCTTTTGTCTATTATTAATATTTTGTTTAAATGGAGAATTTTGTGTTTACGTCATGATATCTTTGATAGTTTCTGTATGTTTGAATGGAGAATCTGGTGTTTATGTCATGCATATCTTTGATAATTTCTGTATCTTTATTTTTTCACACCTTCTTTTAGACTTTGTGTTTGTTTTATTCCACATTGGCTAAATGTATAGGGGAGGGTTGAGATCTCACAAAACATGTTTACCTAACCCCACCGCATTTTTGCCCCAGTCGGCCAAGTCAGGAATCTCTAACCTTTGTTAGACTTGTGTGATTTTTAAAAATTTTGATTCCTTGTATGTTTCGGAGTTTGGTGTGGCGTTCATTTCGCTGAAATAGTACACATTATTGTTCAAGGGCCAGTTTAAGCCCGCCTCCGGGTGCGGAATTTTCTCGATTCGTTGAAGATCCATTGGTGGCCTTGGACTGTTTTCTGCTCTTTGGTCGATTTGTTATCTCTTTGACACATTCAAGTTTCCATTCCCTATTCTATTTGGCGATTTATAGTTTTACATATTGTATAGAAACTTGACAATGGTTGAAGGCTGTCGTTGACCTCAAAATCTCTTTTTTGGTTATTTTGTAGGTGGGTTAATTACTGTCTCATTGACGTAAACCTCAAATCTCCTTTTACACAAAAGTATACATTCTATACACTGAAATCAAAAGTTTTCTTGATTTTGGTTGTTTTTTGTTATACATTATTTATTACATAATTGTTTAAGGATGGTCTTGACTCTCTGTAAATCGAAACACCAGACTTACTAATAAAATCTAACATATCCAAGTTCATGGATACATACAGGAAAGTTTTCCCCATCAGACTAACCAAGAATATCTAACATATCAAAGTTCATGGATACACACAGGAAAGTTTTCCCCATCAGACTTACCAAGAATATCTAACAAATCATAGTTCATGGATACACACAGGAAAGTTTGTCCGTATACATCACCATTGCTCGGAAATTTGTATCCTTCAGATTTGGGATACGGGAATTTCGGAGTGCTGTGTACTAACCAGAAACCATCTGTTTTGTCAAAGCCAACTGCACCTGTTTAATAATTGTTATCATTATTTTTAAGACGATATTATATCAAAACATTTATAAGAATATGTGGTAAAATTTTAATTAAGGAATGACTGTAATGTTTTTTTTCAGTCTATGAAGAAATAACATAAAAAAAAATGTGGTGCACACTGAATAACCCGGTTTATTTAAAAGTGTGCACCACATTTTGAGGTTATTTCGAATAGACAGAAAAAAATATTACAGTCATTCCTTATAATTTAATTCTAAATTCCATTTTTAAGGAGTAAGTCATGAAAAAACGATGATGACGTCACGGTCACATGACAAAATTATGTCTTGGAGCTGATAGACAAAAAACTTTCAGCCAATCAGAACGGACCTGTTACATCCAAAATTAAATTATTTGAAAATAGATTAAATAGTTTTGATGAAAAAATTAAGTTATTTCATACAAAAATATAAAACTTGGTCAAGATAAATAATTTTACTAAAGCTACCACGATTATATTACAAGAAAGTGTTTCACCAAACCCCGTATAAATGACCACAATCTTGAAATTGAAAAGGGTAGATATATTTTAAAATCCCTCGAGGAGATAGACTATGTAAACTAGGCCATGCTCTTGAAAACGAGGAGCATTTCCTCTTGGAGTGTATTATAAATAATAAATTAAAATTGGATCTATTAATAAAGTTAAAATGGGAAGACCGAAAAAAAAAATAAATAATCAAACCCTATATCAACAGAACATGTGAAACTAACCGCCTATTTTTAAACAGTCATTAGAACTGAGGACAATAGCAGCTTAATTTTTCAAGTTTTTTTACATATATAAATCTTGACTGAATTACTGATTCAGGTTCAATTTACTGATTGCATTGCTATATATATATGAATTTGTTCATATGACAATAAAGATTATCTTATTAATAAATTTAAATAGAACGGATAAGCGTTTACGTGAATCCCATAAAAATCTGGAAAATAACTATTGTATTTAAAAACGACGATTTTACTGCAAAAAAGTCTTTGTCAGTCAAGGTCCCCAACTGTATGTGTGGTGGTCCATCATTGTACATACCTTTTGTGTGTCCATGAGTCAAAAATCCTCGAGTGTGAGGTGGTTCATCATTGTACATACCTTTTGTGTGTCCATGCGTCAAGGTCCCCGAAGGTGAGGTGATTTATCGTTGTACTTACCCTTTGTGTGTCCATGAGTCAAGGTCCCCGAGGGTGAGGTGGTTCATCATTGTACATACCATTTGTGTGTCCATGAGTCAAGGTCCCCGAGGGTGAGGTGGTTCATCATTGTACATATCCTTTGTGTGTCCATGAGTCAAGGTCCCCGAGGGTGAGGTGGTTCATCATTGTACATATCCTTTGTGTGTCCATGAGTCAAGGATCCCCGAGTGTGGTGGTTCATCATTGTACATTCCTTTGTGTGTCTTATGAGTCAAGGATCCCCGAGTGTGAGGTGGTTAATTATTGTACATATCCTTTTTGTCTCTTATGAGGCAATGATCCCCGAGTGTGAGGTGGTTCATTATTGTACATACCCTTTGTGTGTCTTATGAGTCAATCCTCTCCGAGTCTGAGTTGTTTCATTATTGTAAATATCCTTTGTGTGTCTAATGAGGCAATGATCCCCGAGTGTGTGGTGGTTCATCATTGTACATACCCTTTTTCTGTCTTATGAGTCAATGATCACCGAGTGTGAGGTGGTTCATTATTGTACATACCCTTTTTCTGTCTTATGAGTCAATGATCACCGAGTGTGAGGTGGTTCATTATTGAGCATATCCTTTTTGTGTCTTATGAGTCAATAATCCCAGAGTCTGAGGTGTTTCATTAGTGTACATATCCTTTGTGTGTCTTATGAGTCAATGACCCCCGAGTGTGAAGTGGTTCACTATTGTAAATATCCTTTGTGTGTCTTATGAGGCAATGATCCCCGAGTGTGAGGTGGTTCATCATCGTACATACCCTTTTTCTGTCTTATAAGTCAATGATCACCGAGTGTGAGGTGGTTCATTATTGAGCATATCCTTTGTGCGTCTTATGAGTCAAGGATCTCCAAGTGTGAGGTGGTTCATTATTGTACATATCCTTTGTGCGTCGTATGAGTCAAGGATCCCTAAGTGTGAGGTGGTTCATCATTGTACATACCCTTTTTCTGTCTAATGAGTCAATGATCACCGAGTGTGAGGTTGGTCATTATTGTACATATCCTTTGTGTGTCTTATGAGTCAATGATCCCCGAGTGTGAAGTGGTTCACTATTGTAAATATCCTTTGTATGTATGTCTTATGAGGCAATGATCCCCGAGTTTGTGGTGGTTCATCATTGTACATACCCTTTTTCTGTCTTATGAGTCAAAGATCACCGGATGCGAGGTGGTTTATTTTGAGCATATCCTTTGTGCGTCTTATGAGCCAAGGATCCCCAAGTGTGAGGTGGTTCATTATTGTACATATCCTTTGTGTGTCTTATGAGTCAATGATCCCCGAGTGTGAAGTGGTTCATTATTGTACATATCCTTTGTGCGTCTTATGAGTCAAGGATCCCCAAGTGTGAGGTGGTTCATTATTGTACATATCCTTTGTGTGTCTTATGAGTCAATGATCCCCGATTGTGAAGTGGTTCACTATTGTAAATATCCTTTGTATGTATGTCTTATGAGGCAATGATCCCCGAGTGTGAGGTGGTTCATCATTGTACATACCCATTTTCTGTCTTATGAGTCAATAATCACCGAGTTTGAGGTGGTTCATTATTGAGCATATCCTTTGTGCGTCTTATGAGTCAAGGATCCCCAAGTGTGAGGTGGTTCATCATTGTACATACCCTTTTTCTGTCTTATGAGTCAATGATCACCGGGTGTGACGTGGTTCATTATTGAGCATATCCTTTGTGCGTCTTATGAGTCAATGATCCCCGAGTGTGAGGTGGTTCTCCATTGTACATACCTTTTGTGTGTCCATGAGTCAAAGATCCCCGAGTGTGTGGTGGTTCGTCATTGTACATCATGTAAAAAATAGAATCATTCTAAAAAAATAAGACTGTCAGTTATTTTCTAATTTACGTATTTTAATCAAGGCTCATTTGATGATCTGGACGCTCTTTGAATTTAAAGACTAGTATCTAAATATTAATAACGGCTATAATACCGGTTCTGCCGTAGGAATATATATATATATATATATTTAGATGAGATTAACCCGAGAAAGGGAAAGCTACTAAAGACATGTGGGGCAGCTACCGGACTAGCCTAGGATCCTGGCTCACTGCTCAAAGGTAGACGCGAAGTGGAGGCTTGGCCATGATGCCAGGCTACTGCCGGACACATGTGTGACTCCGTGACAGATCTTAACCCAAGTTGAATTTGAACAGCACTCGTCGACAATTAGAAAATAACTTAAATGTATTGTTTTATTGTTTAAACCAAAATTGCAAACTAAAATTAAACAGAACATCCAGTAATGTGTTTTGTACATCTAATACAGTGAAACCTGTCTAAACCGAACCTCTTCGAGACTTAAGATTTTGTTCGATTCTGTCAGATGTTCGGTTTAATCAGGTTCACAGACAGCACATACAATTTGATATGACTGGACTTAAGAACATTGTATGGTTTAGACAGGTTTTCGGTTTACGCAAGATTCGGTTTAGACAGGTTTCACTGTATTACTATTATAGATATTACTTTACTAATGTACGAAAAATAAAGTTTGTGAACTTTTACTGGGAATGCCATTACCAATTAATACAGCTTCGGGTAAATATTGTATTTGTAAGATTAGTTCTTACAACACCACACGCAAATTAACCTGGCTTTTTCCGTTGCATGAAGTACCGATAGCCAGTGATAACTGATGCATAAAGTACTTCCCTGGATATGACATTGCAGAAATATTTGCTGGGTCCAGAATATATATATATATATATATATATAGAGCGAGACAAACGTCACGAATACTTTTGGTAAGCAGTATACTGTAGATAGAAATAAGAAGATGTGGTATGAGTGTAGGATATGCACTTACTTTGCTGTCGTATATTTGTTGTAGAGTATAATAAACAGCGTGGTTTGATTCGATCATCCCCTTGTCCGATAGTTTCCAATAAGGCGTATTTTCGTCCATGTAATAAAATGCAGTGCCATTGTGGATGATAGGATTCTTGCTATCCGAAATTTTTGGTAATTTATACAGTATAAACCTATAACGTGAAAATTATATCTTATACTATAATGATTTCATTTATTTAAAAACATATGCGTTTTAATTTGCTTAGTGTTTAAGAACTAATGTCAGAAAACTGCTTTGAATTCACTCTTACCCGTGACTAACTCGGATCCTGGCCCAATAACTGTGTTGAGTCTAAAGTGAGCAAGGATCCAAGGCAAGTCACTAACCAGACTAGTCCGAAATATCGAAATGATTGTAACAAGAAAATTGGATAGTGAAATAATGCTTTCTATATATATGTTATGTTTGTTTATTTTAAGTTACAGTATACCGACAAGTAAAACTGGTATTCTATTATTTCAGAAGACAAACAGGAGTGGATAAGTAAAATAATATTCATCTATAATACAAGAAAAACTAAAGGAAATAATTTTCCGATTTTTTCAGAAAAACAGCGTCCCTCAAACTGAAAAAGATTTAGTTTCGATTTCACTGACTGTGGTTAATAATGACCACTCGCGTTTAAAACTCATCTTTCGTCACGTTTATTTCAATTAGCATTTTGTAAATATCTAGCTGACAAAATCTTTATTTCAGTAAGAATATGTATTCGGTGAATATATGTCAACCGACAGTTGATCTTTTTTTCAATGGAAACAACCTTACTTATTTCACATTCAAAGGCAAGAATTGTTCAAATTTCTTTAAACAAGATAAAGAAATTTTACATTATATAATTCTAACCTACAAATGTATTCAATTTTATCATTTATTTAATTATTCTAAGACACCTCACAGTATAACCTCTGTTCAGTCCACTTCTGATGTGATAAATTGCAATTCCGTAATGTTTTACGCAGATACATTAATGCAAGATTGAAATATAAATGCTAAAATCCTCGGACATCATTACCTCAAGGTAAATGGTTCTTTTTTCTTCTGACAATGGCATTTATTTAAGTTCCTACCAATCTATTGATTTTCAATGCATTTATTTATTAATGAACCTACCAATCTACTGGCGTTCCGTCCTGGTTTAAACACTGTAGTCCAAAACTAAGGCATATGTTTATGCAGAAGACTAATATGCCTATCGAAGTAGACATGTTTGTCGTGGAGTGTTATCAGGACACTTCTGACAGGCCACATGAACAGTACAAGAAATCTCACACCAGTATGTAACAGTCCCGAGAATGCGGTCACATTGGAATTCTAATCAAGAATATTTCGATATATATACCGAGATACTATATATAGTACCCGATTTATACAATTGTCAATAAAAATAAAGACATATCATTTCAAAAGTATATAAATAAATTTAAAGGAGATATGGGGTATATACGTCAGTGAGACAGCAACCAAACAAAAACATAAGGCATCTATTTATGTCAATTTATATGCTTGTTTTACTTGATCAGACTCGCGGAGAATCAGTTTACCAGTCTAAGTGTTTATGACAGTATTCTAAAACCATATTGCAATACAATTTTTATTTTTTTCTTCAGTCCATGCCTGTTTTCACTTGTTGTTTCAAGTCATATTCTTAGTTGAACTTATCAATAATGCTGTTTGTTTCTATACATATGTTTAAACCCAATACAATGTGTTGTAACGGTTGTAATAATTATTAAGCTTGCCGATTGGACAAATCAAATATTTTATGATTGCACATATTTTGACCCTCTATTTTCACTAGAACCATAATAACACCACTGATGACAAAGGACATATGTGTGTTTTATATAACTTGTCAAATAACTAATTGTAAATGTGGAGTGACCTCTCCGTGTCCTTGATCTTTTTATCTTTATTTTCTTCTTGCCTTTTTTATGGGTGTGGCTTGTTTTTTGTTGAGTTTCTGTCATATGGACTAAAATTTTGGAGTTAAGTACACAGAGGTCAAATGCACATAGACATAACAATGCTTAGGACAAATAACGATTAAACAGATATCCGCACGTAAATTTTAACCCTTCAAATTTCATTTGCAATTAAAACATTATTCGGGATTGTAACAAACAAACAACACTTTTATCAAGAAATACTAAAATTCGACTAAATTTCGGCGATAATAAATTTAAATTTATTGAAATCGAACTCAAACCAAATTGTAAACGAAGCAGCACCCCTCTTCATTAAAGGAAAATAAAAACGACAGGTTAATGTCCGTTTTTAATATTAGAGAAAAACTTTCTAATATTATATACATCGTGAACAAACACTATCATACAAGGTCGACGGATAAGCATACAAACATCTTAAAACATTTGACTGTATTATTCCATGTCCTCATTCAACTGTCGAGTTCCTTAACCAAGGTCACTTTTGTGTGTTGAATTGTTAAGGCAGAATTGTTTCGTGTGTGTTTCGTCCTGACGTACATTTGGTGTGTTGCTTTCTAGTTATATGCAAGAATTCATAAATAACTAATGACAACTTTTCCAAATTCAAGTCTTTAGTGTTGTATACAGCATTTTGTGTGATAAATTGTTTCACATTTTGTCATGTCGGAGACTTTTTATAGCGGACTGTTTTACTCATCGTTGAAGGCCGTACAGTGACTTTTAGTTGCTTAAATCCCCGTTATATATTTTATATATTTTGGCGTGTTTGTTTTTTTATCCCGTCATATTATTGGCTGTGTACTTCGACTTGTGGGCTTAAAATGTCATCTTTCCATTCTCAATTTTGTTGATGTGTTCCGCCTGTTTTTTTCTGTATGGATTTGTTTCTTGTTATTGCATCTTGACCACCTGTTTTAAACAGTATTTATTTTTTTCCAATAGACCTTCCTTCACGGAAAAAGGTGCTTAAGCCCTCGTTAACTACCCGTGAGGAGGGAGCATTTCCTCCTTTTAAAGGCCTCGATGCGACTTTCATAGGAAGAACTGCAATCAAAACGCTGTTCCTTCGCTTTTCTTTAAGTGTGTGTAGTGATTTTGTGCCACAGTTGGTATACTATTTCCTTTAATTTCTTTACCTTTTTTTATGACATATGTAATGGAATGACAATTTTAGATTTGTAGAGATAAGCCAATGTGATTTTTATATTACTATTTATTCACAAGTTTCCAGAAACGTGTTTTTCCGAGGTTTTTTTTTCGATGCACAAAGTGTAACCTCTTCAGTTTCCAGTGAATTTGATTCAAACTAATGTAAAGCTTGACCTCTCTGTTAAAATGAACCAATAATGTTTGATTTACGGAATTGTCAACAACTGGTATACAAATAACGCATTGATCAATTTAATGTGTGTATCAAACGCTTGCAAGTCGTCAAATTTTGTGTTGTTGGGTTGCTGTTTCATTGGCATATAGCCAAAATATCATTTCAATCATACCAACTTGTAAACCCATTGAAAAGAAAACCATTAAAAGTTAATTATTCACAAACTGCCAACATGAACGTTACAACTACAAGCCAAACAAGTAAGATGTAACCTTGAAAACTGACGAACACAAAAATATTTTTAAAACCCAAACTTAATTTCGAAGCAAAAGTTTAGTCAGTGTTGTTGTAAATTCAACAAATATTCCAGTTTGTGACACATGTTAGGTAGCCATATTCAACTATGTTTTCTCTCTTTATTGCTCATAGTCAAGGACCATAACCTAAATATATCTATATATATTTTCAAATTAATTGTTTGTTGCTCATAGTCAATGACCACAACCTTTGTGTATCTATACCTTTTTTCAAATATATGTTTGAGGATGACTTAAAACCTCTTCCTTTCGTTTTAAATTCAAAATGCAGCAGAATTAAATTTCGATAATATATTTCCAAATTTAATAAAGCTAATTTTGTAATGTAGTAAGTTGAAGTTATGTAAATATTCCCATAACTATCGACTGAATATGAGAATGGTATTATTTTTTTATAAGATTTAATATAATTGGATGTATAAAGGTCATTTTATCACAATAATGCAGATGATTTATTCCACATGTACATCAAATTTTGTAGAAAGTTATCTCCCGTCGAGACCTGAGATATGTTTAACGGATTGTTCAGTATTTTTACAAGTCTTTTTCACATTCAACTCTCCACATTCTTGCATTTGAACCACCAGACTTTTTCACATAAAATAAATAATAATTTACTGTCATATATTTGTGCAAGTACCGTTAGCTCAATGCTTAAACAGATCTGAAGTTTAAAAGGGTTAAAGTCAGTTTGTATAGATTAAAGTCCATGTTACCAAGCACGAAGCTTTTTGTTTTAACGAAATTTGAAAATAAATTAATATAAGTCCTAGAAAACGAGTTAATTTAGAAGCATTTCCTGTGGACAATGGATGGACCAGATTCATCGTATTCCTGTTTGCTGATCCACATCTGTTGGAAGGTGGACAATGAAGCCAAGATGGAACCACCGATCCAGACGGAGTATTTCCTTTCTGGTGGAGCAATGATTTTGATCTTCATTGTGCTTGGAGCAAGTGCTGTGATTTCCTTCTGCATTCTGTCGGCAATACCTGGGAACATGGTGGTACCACCAGATAAGACGGTGTTAGCGTACAAGTCCTTACGGATGTCGACATCGCACTTCATGATACTGTTGTATGTGGTTTCATGGATACCAGCAGATTCCATACCCAAGAAGGATGGCTGGAATAGTGATTCTGGACACCTGAATCTCTCGTTACCGATGGTGATTACCTGTCCATCAGGCAATTCGTAGCTCTTTTCTAGGGAAGATGAGGAAGCGGCGGTTGACATTTCCTGTTCGAAATCAAGAGCAACATAGCACAATTTTTCCTTAATGTCTCTTACGATTTCTCTCTCGGCGGTGGTTGTGAATGAGTAACCTCTCTCGGTAAGGATCTTCATCAAGTAATCAGTAAGATCTCTACCGGCCAAGTCGAGACGGAGGATGGCGTGGGGAAGAGCGTAACCTTCGTAGATTGGTACGGTGTGTGTGACACCATCTCCGGAGTCGAGGACGATACCAGTGGTACGACCGGAAGCGTACAGTGAGAGTACAGCCTGGATGGCAACGTACATGGCTGGTGCATTGAAGGTCTCGAACATGATCTGTGTCATCTTTTCCCTGTTGGCTTTGGGATTGAGTGGAGCTTCAGTGAGCAGGACTGGGTGCTCTTCTGGGGCAACACGGAGTTCGTTGTAGAAGGTGTGATGCCAGATCTTTTCCATATCGTCCCAGTTTGTGACGATACCGTGTTCAATGGGGTATTTCAGGGTGAGGATACCTCTCTTGCTTTGGGCTTCATCTCCTACGTATGAATCTTTCTGACCCATACCAACCATGACTCCCTATGAATAAAAAATAATATGTCATGTATTTGCAAGTTAAACATGACGAAATTCGCATCAATAATTCTAACAAAACCTTTTATGTACATTGTGGATTCAGTACATATAATTATATGATTTTTCTAGTATGTTTCTTATATTTATAATGTTAAAATCTACAAGGAGATGTGGTTTGATTGCCAATGAAACAACAATCCACTAGAGACCGAAGGACGCTGACGTTGCCATTTTGCTCAACGTCCTGTGGCAAATATGTCATACATATTCAAGACAATCTACAGAAATGGGCTTAATACAAGTTTTCGGTGTTTTAAATGTAAGGTATCTAGTAAAAATAAATGTATGTTCGTTCGTTATCTTTTTCCTCTGCCTGAATACAATTTTTCCTTTTTTTTAATCTTTTAAAAATGTTTCCCTGAAAGAAAGTTTATCAAATAGTATGCTTCAGAATCTACCCTTTTTTCAGCTTTCAATATGAAGCACCGTAATATTTAACTCCCGCTATTTAAGTGTACAAAAAGGACTAAAATATAAACACCATAGAAATGTTTTGTTGTCAGAGGACAAGAATGATTTAATTCCTTGCCCCGAGCCCCCGAGCCATTATTAACTCAATGCAAAACGCGAGAACAAAATCAAAGAATATATCACAACTTTTTTTTTCTAGTAAGGAGAGGATCTTAAATATCAATCATGTCTTGTTCGTTATATAACTGTGTTGTAAAAACTAATGCCTGGATTTGATTAAGAAAAGTTATCAGTTGCATAATATTATTATGGTATCAACGAAAGTTCATTGATAAATAAGAAAATGCTGATTGAACCAAAGTAAATTTTCTCTAGTAGTAGCTAACACGTGCATTCGAAATTTCATCAACTAATTCGCCGCATGAAATCTAAATTATCAATTATCTCATCATAAAACATTAAAATAACAAACAGAAATTTGGTATGTTAATCATCCCATAATCTGTTCAGTTCAAATGTCAAAACTGCACGTTACAAAATTTTGAAATACTTTTCATGACCTCATTGTATGAACAGATGGGATAGCCATATTTGGTAATGAAGTTGGCGTCGTTTGGAATGTTGCAGTCATCATCGCCTTGGGGTGTGGGCAACACACGTGGTTAGGGTATCAAATTCAAGGCTAATTAGACAAAGCACTGGATAATTGCGTTTTCCTTTAAAACTGTTTTATACTTATAAAAAATGTAATTCTCAAAGAAAAAGATTGGATAGATGTATAATTCATATAATTAACACATCGTATGATGTGTCCCATTTCAAGCACAAAGTATGTGTAGAAAATGGTCTGTTGCGCGTATATACCATGAATGACTGATACGAGTTAACTACATGTAGTTCACATAATTTACCAGGTTGTCTTTGTATTTTAAAGTTGGTTTTATTTTCTCTATCATTATTTACAATATGTTGTATCAATATTTACTTGATAATTACGTTACTTGTTGTTAAAAACTTTGAAAGGTCAACTTGAACATAGTGCAGGAAAACATGCAAATGTAAAAAGTAGAAAAAATAATTTTTGAATCATGTGTATTCCTTAATATAAATATTAATTAAAAAACTGACCTGATGTCTTGGTCTTCCAACGATGGAGGGAAACACGGCTCTTGGAGCATCATCTCCGGCGAAACCGGCTTTGCACATTCCGGATCCATTGTCTACAACCAAAGCGGCTACTTCGTCGTCACACATGATGTCTGTTTTATAAAGTTATACTAAACGCTAAAGAGGAGTATCTCACCCTGACTTCTACAACAAACTGGTGAAGTGTCTTACTCACACGCGCTTTTATGCAACGCGATCAAAGCTTTCCAAGAAACTACTACGATTAATTGACTGCGTTTGCCATATTTGGAATTCCCATACTGGTTAAGTTTTACCGAAGTCGCTCGACGATTTCCGTTATTAATCGTAAGTTCCGAAGATGCATGTGTTAGCCACATATGGCAGGCATCACTTCCGAACTTGGCGTTCGGGTCTCCAGGCAAACAAAGATGGAGTTACATTTTTGAAAAAAATGAAAAGTTAGAACCTACTTGGTTTTAATATTTTGTGTAGAGAAATGATAAATCAGTAATTCACAAAGTGCGAAGAATGTCAACAAATACATTGGAATTAAAATGTGTATATATAAAGGTATTGCAATTGTTTTATTTTATCAAGATGTTAAAAAGAAAAGTAATCGTATGCCGCCATGGGGGCTGACATGTTTGTTTACATCGTAAACCCCATTTTTGGACGCGAGTAAAAATGATAGGCGAATGAACAAGTAATACCTTTCAAATTTGTCATGGGTTAAAAAAAAATTAAAGAAATAGTTTTAAAATTTAAAAAACAGAAAATACATTCAGATGTTAACATTAAATATCAAAGCTTTGTAAATCAATGTCTACATCGTTAAGAAAAGTACAGAAGAAAAGGGGGATGTTTTTGAACATTTTTGAAGTTTAATGGAGTTTGAAAAGGACAATGGTTTGAGTCAAGAGGAAGAAAAAAAACATATACATTATGTCGTTGTAGTTTTGATCTTTAAGTTTTTGTTCAATTAACGACTATTTGATCCTATTTATTTAACCGAACGAATGCTGCACATATAGTGAAAAAAAGGGGGGACATTCAGTAGCAAGTCCACAACTCTCTCCCATTCCAAATGGCGTTACTAAATTCCAGTTTATCGTATTTATTTTTTTTTCGTGAAAACTACTTGCAGCTACTCTTAATAGAAACTTTGAAAATATTTATTGACGTAAGAATTTTGTATTTTGTTGTGAATTTTAGTTTTCGACATCTTTCCCCAGTACTGTTAAGATAAACTTTTATTACACATAAGACATAAGAACTTTATTTACAGTGTATTTGTGTATATTAAACGATAGAAGTCCTTAGATAGCTTTTTTACTGATGTTTATTATCTGTCAAAACTCCATATAAACATATATATTGGCTTTATCCCATTACAGTATTTGTTCAACTATCTAAAATATTTAGTTTGAATTCTCCATATATGGTATGGATTCCATGGTATTCATTTTTTTCGTAGAATTGATATATAATTGATATTTTTAGACGAGTTATTTATATATCAATGGGATATTTTAAATGCTTACTCAGAGATTATTATTTTAGATTTGCGGTATATAAGAAATATTTAGGGCATCTTATGAATGATAAAATTGTGTTAATACTTGGTAACTGAACTGTTGGAATGGGACACTTTTATCATGGTAAATTGTATGTTCAGCCTGGGAATAGTATTTTATATCCCAGGTCCAGCTCACAAGTCCTCATTCAATCCCTTTAACGTAAGATTTTTATTCTTGGTCGAATGGTATGTTTTACTGATAGGGGGACCATTTACAAGTGGTCCAATATTCGTGTCATATTTGTCAAGATACTATTTAGATGTCTTAATTAATACTAGTTAATTGGACTGAGCTTATAGATTTATTGATTGTTTGTTGTTTAACCTCCAATAACAAATATTTCAAGCATTAGTTTTACGAGAACAAGTTAACAATAAAAAACGATTTCAATTTTAAAAGGGATTGTATACCACACAGAGTGTTCATTGAGATTTGAATGGTTTTAAGGAGTTAAAAGGAGTGTGTCTTGTCTTATAAGGTGTATCAAAGCGAATGTTCCTACTTTCATTAGTAGTAGGTGTGCATGTATTTTGACTCGTATGCGTAGTGTTCGACAGTTGTTGTCCATTCGTTTGATGTGTTTGAACTTTTGATTTTGCCATTTGATTGGGGACTTTCCTTTTTTGAATTTTCCTCGGAGTTCAGTATTTTTGTGATTTTACCATTTCGCTGATCATAATGATTCAAACATTGTAGTTTGAAAGATCTTAGTTTTCCTTTACCCAAGTGGCAGCACCCCTCCCCTCCCCCCCCCCCCCCAAAAAAAAAGGAAGAAAGATATTCTAATGTAACGTTAGCTATTGGGTGATATGGTCATGTTTTGTCCCACATGTGTTCTAATGAATGGCATTCGATTATCTGTTAATCAGTATGAGATTTAATATTACATAAGTAATCTTCTGTCAGTCGGATGATGAGTTAATCTGGTTATCGATTTATCCTAATCAGGAAATAGATAACATCTACACCAGATCGTGTAATGAATACTGGATATATGACCTCATACCACCCCTCACACATGCATGTACGGAAATACTGACATGGGTTGGAAGGGAGTGAGATTCGTACATGTATGTCTACAAAAAATGAATTAAAATTGAATTAAATAGTAAACAAATCCTTGTAAAAAATATAAAAATTCTAGATATTTTTATATAGTTACTCAGTCTTACTATTACTGTGTAATAGTAGTCCTGTGTTATAGTAGTCTCAGCTTTGTACAAATATGTGTTAAACGTTGGTAATATTGAATTTCAAATTCAAGTTATTTAAATCATGGAAGTAATATTTATTTTTAAATATTACTTCCATGTTTAAATTAATCAGACGACAACGGAAACATTCACTGCTACACAACTATGTACAACTTCGGAGGCTAGTATGGGATATGAATTTTTCCACATATGTTTGCCTTTTTCATATCATTTAAGATTTTATATTATCTTTCTTCACATATTTTATTTAAATGTTAGCCGATGCGGGTGTTTTTTTTTTTGGGGGGGGGGAGGGGGGGTATGCATATTCTTTAGAAGTATGCGTTTTAGGTACTTATATCTATACTATAATATAAATTATAATAATCGACTATACATTTGTCATATTGTAAAGTGTGTGTATTCCCAGTTATGTCTCCGAGTTCTTCTCCTGGACGTTGTCATGATCTTTTTAATTTACATGTACACATTTTATCATCATTGGCTGAATGAAATTGTTATAAGAGGGTAGTGTAATACTTGGGGGAAATTATATAAAATTGAAAGAACAAATTCCGACTCAAACTAAAATATTATCATTGTTCAAGTTCAGAAGTGCATAATTTTTGCCCTTTTAACTAGATAAAAAATAACATTCAAGTTTATGGTGTAATTTTATCTCCCTATAATCCTGTCATATAGTTCTGTAGGAATACGAATCCGCAGTGAAAGGCAGTTTTGGATCTGTTTTGCTACTAGAGAACGCTTTAATTAGAAATAAAGATTTTGATCATATATTATTTTGAGGAGCATAATAAAACACACGTCAATGAAGTTGCAGATGTCTTACAATAACTATTTCTAGTTAATGTACTGATAGATTTATATCGAGTAATCTATGCGAGACATATGGTTACAAGTGCACTATGTACAGCATACACATGTGGGATATTGTATGACGTAGATCCACAATGTCGACGTGTGTTCGGTAATACCATCGTTTAACCAAAGAGAGATAACTCAATAGATATAAGAAGATGTGGTATGAGTGCCAATGAGACAACTCTCCATCCAAGTCAAAATTTATAAAAGTAAACCATTATAGATCAAAGTACGGTCTTCAACACGGAGCCTTGGCTCACACTCGATATTCACCCTCAAGTGCATCTCAATGTCACTTCACTCTTTGTTCCTTCTCTTCGTCTCCAAACACAGTTTGAAAACTGGTAAAGCTGGAACAATAGATAAAATACTTTTCTTATGATAAAGGGGACAATGTCAGTGCGGTTACCATACTGAATTCTAATCAAAGTTATTTCGAAACCCTAATCGAATAAATTTAAACAAATAAATATTTATTAAAGTAGTGTTATTCGAAACAGCATACATACACGAAAACGCATGAGGGTCTAAATGGGGGTCCCTTCATTTGTGTATTCTTTAGTTTATTAGGTCATTTTTCTCTATTTTTTATATTTTTTCAATTATTCTCTATTCTTTATATTTTAGAATCTCATTATTTCTATTTTATTTTTCTGCTTTATTTTGCTCTATTCATAATTTTTTGCTCCATTTTTCTCTGACAGATTTTGCCTATTAATCTCTATTCTGTAAATCCCATCCAAACCCTCAAGCACTTTGTTTCATTTTTTTTTTTTATTTATCGATAAAAAAATCTCATTTGTATTAGAGATGTTTGTTATACGGACGATTCGTAAAAAGTTAATCTTTTGTCGAATGTTGTTAAAAAAAAGGTTGAGACAAACCTGCACTCATTTAAGAAGATCAGATCGTAACACTTTTCTAGGGAAAATAAGAAAAGACACTTTTGTACAAAATCTAACGCTCTATCCTTACACTTATTTTCAGAGTGTTCCACTTAGTCCTAAGTACGATATTATTTCACGATTTTCCACAACTAAGTTTTCGAGCACGCCTGTTTATTCATTTAAATGAGACAATTGAATTTAAAAATATTGTCTCTGCGTAAATAAAATTATTTACAAATTATGTCTGTTCAGGTTAAAAACAAAACAAATATTTTCATAAGAAATATGATCCGTAATAGAAGATTTTACCCTTTTTTTAAGAATAATTCGTCTCAATGCATTTGCGTGAATAAATGTTTATAACAGAATGTCCGTTTGAATTTTTCAAATGACTTAAATCCCAACGTGTTTATCTTTGCTGCATATCAATCGATTTTGTTGATATTTTTTTCGTCCTGAACCTCTCCGGAACTGTATGTACATGCATATAAGAATAAGAATAAGAATATTTATTATTCCAACCAAGGCCCTTGAAGGGCAGCATGACATGTATACACACAAAACAATACATTGTGATTTGTGACAGATTTTTTTTTTTTTAGATTGAAATGAAATATTTAAAGTTCATACAGATATAGAGCTACATATTCAACCTTTTAAAAATATAATGTATGGATGAATACCAGAATTCAGTATTATTAGTAAACATGTTTTTGTTACATGTATAGGTATCATACAGTAAACCATCTTCCATATTTTTTTATTCTAAACCAATATTTCACCATCGATAATACAACTTAAAAATTCAAAGAGAATGCACCAATTTCTCCCAGCACAGCTAAGTTAGAATACTTTTTATTTACACCTAAAGTATACTTCATATATCTTGAATTGGATTTATCTGAAAAAATCATTACTATAAATGTGCTGTAATAAAACATTCATTTTCTTTCTGGCATGCTGCAGAGTTAGTTTTGAACATATCTGTAATTTTACTTTCATACATTGAAATAGGTTTTATTGGATGGTCATATATATATGTAATAAGAGTAGAAATACTTGGATTAGAAGTTGATAAAGATCTTTGTAATTTGAATACAGCTTTTAGTGATTTTTTGTATAATTCTTCCTTTACTTGCTTAAAAAGAGTCCACTAATTGTAAATTTTAAACCTAAATATACTTATAACTGTTAACACATTTTATAATATCCTTATTTTTTTTTTTAAAGTTTACCAGGTTTGTTAAATGCATGCGATTACTTTGGTTTTTGATAGATTGACCTCTAAACACAATCTAGTAAAAAAAATTGGATAAACCATCAAGTCGTTTTTGAAGACCAGCCTTGGAACTAGAGAAAATAACAATATCATCTGCATACATGAGGCAGTCAATTCTGTGGCCATTAATATCAACAGCATCTGGGCTTTCATTGAATGCATCCGGTAAATCATTTATAAAATTCCTGAAACGGTTGGGACTCAAAACATACCCCCTTGCTTTACCCTAATTTTAGAATGAAAAGTTGGAGTAAGCACATAGTCTATTTCAACACATAATTCAATTTTATTGTGCATATCTCTCAAATGCTTTTTTGAAATCGACAAAGCAAGCAAAAAGTTTCCAACCTTTCATACTGGCGAACTTATCCATTATAGTTTTTAATACAAACATGTGATCCGATGTCCTACTTTTACTGGAAAAACCAATCTGACATGGATTTATGATATTATTTGTTTCTCAATACGAAGCCTTTTGCTTTATAGTATTGAATTTAACAGTTGTCCAATACAAATATATTAATTTCAATACTTCTATAGCTTTCATGTTTAGATTGATTTATAGCTTTAAAAAGTGGACAAATATATGTTGATGACCATTTTTTTTTATATATTCCTGAACAAAATACAAGAAGATTAAAAAGTTTTTGAAATAATGGAGCTAATATACTAGCACCACTCTTCAGTATTTAATTTGTGAGGCCACCTAAACCGACTAACTTTCCACATTTTAATTTACAAATAGTATCTAACACCTCTTTGGAGGTTATCATAAAATCCAGTTCATTGAACGAGTGGCTTGATTGCATGTATTTGAGTATCTTGTTAAATATACGACAACTCTGCGACGGACGTTCTCCTAACTTTTTTCCACGAATGTGACATCCCCGATGGCGACTTATCATCGTATAGAACAAGAACAAGAACATATTTTATTACCAATTAAGGGCCCACAAGGGGCATATAGAGCAGGTATAAGGAAAATGAACATTGATTAGCATAGATACATAGAATTTAAATACACAATCACAATACAATTAGACTGTAATAAAGCCCTTGGTTTATAGTATATAATATAGTTATATGAAAAATAAATAGATCCAACTCATATCGACTTAAATAATTTTTTGCAACAGCATTAAGGACCTGATTGTCTTCATAGCTTAATGAATAAATGAATTTTTGCTGATTGTCCAGTATAGAAAAGTTAAGGTTTTGGCAAAGTCAAAGAGAGCATCTCTATCAGAGTTAAATTTTTCACATGAAGTTAAAAAATGGATTTCTATATGTACTTGCCGAGAGCAACACGATGGTTCCACTAATGAAACAGTCGCCTTTCCGGAGAACCCGAGTTTAGAATTGTAATTAGTTTTGTCTTATGGGATTTGGGCTATGTTTGGTTTTATTTTTTAGTGTGGTATTTTGTGCTGTTTATTTTCAATATCTGTTGTTTTTATAAACTCAGTCCGTCTTTTGTAAATAAACCCTTGTAATTTCATTCAGACTTTCGCATTCTGTCAAGCTTTATATGATTAAATAATTAACATGTAACGATGATTTACGATGTTGTCTTAGATTCAGACTAGACGCATTAATTTATTCGTTATTATATAAATCGTATAATCACGTATGAAAAGACTACTAGTCAACGTATTTAACAGTAATAACACAGCGGATGTCAATATAGATGAACAGTTGACACTTCCGGAGAACCCATGTACATTGTGGACACTTTTGAGAGAGATAACTCAAATTAAGAAATAATTAAGAAGTGAGTTTACACCCGGTTTTTGGTGTAGTTAGATTACTCAGTCTTTCAATGAGTTTTCTGTGAAGTGCTTGTAAATTGGTCTTTTCTTCTTTTTACCATCGTTACTTTAGTATAGGCACTATGATTCTTTTAATTATATAAAATGTTCTCACAAGTTCAATTCGAATCTTTGTACATCCGTCGCTGGTTATTACTCCCTCAATAATGCTTATCAAGTCTGGTCTTTTCAGTTCTTTTGGCAGTGGCGTTATCTGTCTTTCTTCAACTTATGATTTTTATTGTCCCCTTGGTATCCGGGGGCTCTCTCCCTCTATTTTTCTGGCATTGCATAATTCTATATCTAAACTAATCATCTAAATTGACATTCTTTTCTGCACAAAGATAAAAAAAAAAAAAATCTTTATTGCAAAAACATGTCGTCTACAAAGGGTTCTGTTAAATATGCAATAGAAATATGAACGCTGACTGGAAAAATTCAACACCTACGAACTACTCTTAGCATAAAAGGTGCAGGAATAAACTGCAGTCCGAGAATTCTTTTAATTTTCGGTGGGTCCTCTCCACACACCGGCAAAAATTTAAATCTTTGTACCAACGCTGTGAAATACAGGAATAGTTCCATTCGTGCAAGAGATTCTCCCATACATGCTCGTCTTCCTGTTAATATAATAATAGATACATATATTGTGATACATATTTAAGCTTTGACACAATAGTTTCTGATGTCTTTGTTATCCTTTCTGTGCTTGTAAATGATTAACGCTTATACATGAATATATATTAACATGTATACTTGAGTTAGGTTATCTTGATTTTGTTTTGTGGACTTATATATCACATACAATCGTCTTAATAACGTCTAATTACTTCACCACTGTGTCTAAACTACCCCGGCAAAAAATGTTTGGACTCGATAGTATCTAATGTCCGGTACGGTGACGGACAATCAGCAGACAGAGAAAAGGTAGAATTTCTGTTTATTTATTTGTTTTTTTAATGACATTGAAGAATAAACATACACATATAACTATTTTCGATTGTGTGATGTAATATTTTCTACAACCGTTCTAGATTAATGGAGAAGTAAGTAAAAAGGCACATGAAAATGGTGAATTGAGTGAACCTTGCTACAAATTTGTTTAATTTCTTTTTAAATTGTGCACATTGTGCGGAAAAAAAAGTACGGAAAGAAAGATATTAACACAGAGATTGCATGGCTAGTCACTATGAGCACCTCAATATTTGCATTTCTGTGCATGGAACGAAAGAAATGGGTCATGTCAAAATGGAAGGACCCTGTTTCGTCAATGTTGTTTATTACATAAGGACCCGGTTTTGTCTCAGTATAGGACCCGGTTTTGTTTTGTTTTGAAACCACAAATTTATGAAAAGCTACGTTAACACGGATCTGAACATTGCCCATCGAAAGAAATTAAATATGTGAGTCAAAATGATGTTGTAAAGATGTTATTGCAATACAAACATGTCGTGTTAAAATATATTTCAAACGGGAACTTTTCGAAATAGGGAGTAGACATTTTTGAATGCTATACGTATACCTTATTGAACTTATCTTCGAACTAAGTTTAAATGGAAATAAATACTTTATAGCATGTACTAACATTAATTCCTTGTGAAAGAAGATGTGGTGTGATTGCCAATGAGACAACTCTTCACAAGAGACCAAATGACACAGAAATTAACAACTATAGGTCACCGCACGGCCTTCAACATTGAGCAAAGCCCATACCGCATAGTCAGCTATAAAAGGCCCCGAAATGACAAATGTAAAACAATTCAAACGAGGAATCTAACGGTCTAATTCATGTACAAAAAAAATGAACGAAAACCAAATATGTAACACGGCAACAAACGACAACCACTGAATTACAGGCTCCTGACTTGGGACAGGTACATATATACGGAATGTGGCGGGGCTAAACATGTAAGCGGGATCCCAACCCTCCCCTAACCTGGGAATTTGGTGTGTCAGTACAACATAAGAACGAACTGTAAAAATCAGTTGAAAAAGGCTTAACTCATCAGATGGATACAAATAGAAATACATCTAACAAATGTTTGTTTATTTTCTATACTACTATAATGATGTAAAAATAAGAAGATGTGGAATGATTGTGTTACTATATCAATTTATCAAAAGAGTAAGGATAGTATGCTTTACTATACTATACGCTATGTTTACAATATATTTACTCATTCGATCATCCATTGACGGACAGTGAGAGAAAAAACTCCGTTTTAAAGGCCGTACTTTGACCTATAATGGTTTACTTTTACAAATTGTGACTTGGATGGAGAGTTGTCTCATTGGCACTCATATCACATCTTCTAATATCTATAAGAACGTTTTGGATATCTCAAATCAAAAAGTTGCCTTTCGAACGTGTATTTTATGTCCTCTTCGAAATACACAAGTTCTAAACTTCCCTATTAAAATCGAAATAAATCTATCATTCCATGCTCTACGCTCATTTTAACATGGGTAGGCATTATATTTGTCAATAGTTTATACCTTGCTAACGCTTGGTTTAAAAATTTTAACAAATAGAATGCCTACCTATGTTTATCTGAGCATTGAGCATGGCATGAAAGAATTATTTCTTTTTATAAATAAAAGTTGGTTTGCAACATCATAACGTCCAATATCTTCGTCTTCGTCTTCGTGGAACAACCTAAGTGGCAATTTAGCTCGTGAAAAATTACAATGAGACAGCTTTTTATAAGAGACCAAATGACGTAAAAGTTAACAAATATAGAACACCGTATGGCATCCAACAATGAGAAACGCCCATACGGCATAGCAAGCTAAATAAGGCCCCGAAATTAAAACTGTAAAAAAAAACTAATGTGAACACTAACGACCTGATTTATGTACAAAATAAAAAAAAAAACGAAAAACAAATACATGTATGATATACAGCAACAAAAGACAACCACCGATTTACAGGCTCCTAGATTCGGTACTGGCACATACAGAACGGCGGGGTTGAACGTGTAAACGTCCCCCCTCCCCCCCCCCCCCCACAACAAAAAACACAAGAAAAAAAACTGGTATAACAGCACAACATATGAACAAACTATAAAATTCAGTGAGTTGAAAAAGGCTTAACTCATTTGATTACAGAGCCCCTATAGTAAATATGCGATTGGCGGCTGTCTCTGTTTATTCGTCTTTTATTAAATTTTATGATGGTTTACGACATAGTTACATTATATCAGTGGCGGATCAAGGAGGTAGAGGGAGAACGACGACCCACCACCCCCCTTTTGGTGGCTAGAAATAATTATTTTATCATGTTTTTTACGATTTATATATGATTTTTTATTTAGCATAAAATCGTAAAAAAAAAGTTCCCCTTGCTACGCTCGGCGGTGTAAAATCCATTTATGAATATGCCCCTTTCAAAAATCATGGCCTCGGTCCGCCCTTGCATATTGACAATTTTAAACTTGACCAACGTGCTTAAATTGTAGAACATTTGTCAATGTACGATAATCATTATACAATGAAGAGATAAACCTATATATAATAGTTGTACTATATAGGGCAGTTGTTAACAACTTGATACTAGTGCATTAAAGAATTTGTTAATGTTAAAAAAAAGGAGAAAACAAAAAGAGATATAACATCGTTTATTTATAAAATTACTAATCAAATAATCATCACTGCAATTTCCGGATGGCCTAAGAATATTATACTAATTCATACTTAGTATTATTGTAACATGGAGGGGTAAACAGATTTTTAACGCACTATTGTTGTGATCCTTTTCGCCGCATGGAAATTCCTTTTCTTGGGCGATTCTGCATGCATATACATTTGTCTTATTCTCTTGCTTTATAATGAATATTTATTTTCAAACGATCATACTGTCTCCCCCTTTAAGTAGAGCGGAACATTAAGATAACCATCTTGTTGTCCCAGAGAATCACATATCAAATGTGCGTCCTTAAATTTTCAAGGCCGTACACTATTTTAGTTTGAACATTTAAATTAACATAGTTGATATAAAAAAATCTAATTGCGTTACAAAATCTTCATTTCTTTTTAATTTTTCCTTTTGTTTTTTTTTATACAAAACAAAATTGAAATTTGCTTTGTTCTAATATAGCAGGAATTCAAGTGTTTACGGATTCAAAAAGGTTATAAGTTATCCTCTGAAAGAAAATGTTTTTCAACGATCCCTCAAACTTCTGTTGAACGCAATATTTTAATTTTCGTCATGCGATTATGCATTATTTTCTATGACAAAACCGGGTCTGCTTTGTGAAATTTAAGGACAAAACCGGGTCGTACACATTGACAAAACCGGGTGCTTCAATTTTAACATGACCCACTTCTTTCATTCCATGCACAGACATGCAAATATTGAGGCGATCATAGTGAAAAGTCTTGAAATATCCGTGTTAATATCTTTCTTTCCGTACCTTTCTTTCCGTACAATGTGCTCAATTTAAAGAGAAATTAAACAAATTCGAGGCAGGGTTCACTCAATTCACCATTTTGATGTGCCTTTTTACTTACTTCTCCATAAATCTAGAACGGTGGTAGAAAATATTACATCACACTATCGAAAATAGTTATATGTGTATGTATATTCTTCAATATCATTAAAACAACATATAAATAAACAGAATTTCTACATTTCTCTGTCTGTTGATTTTCCGTCACCGTACCGGACATTAGATACTATTGAGTCCAAACATTTTTCGCCGGGGTAGTTTAGATACAGTGTTCACGTAGATGTTTTATACGAATTCCAGTATTCGATTTGCAGACAACAATCACGTGGTGTTTTAATGTGGTTTGTTATGTCTCAATAAAACGCCATCTTCATGACTGCACTTGCTCTCCGTGACAGTGGTATTCAATGCGTATGAATGTTTAAAACAAAACAAACACAAATCGTGATTAACTCGTTATTTCCTGTTTTAAACATTTTTATTAATCAATAGGGTCTTAAGATTGGTGATCATATAAAAATAAGAAGATGTGGTATGATTACCAATGAGACAACTCTCCAATAGGGACCAAATGACACAGAAATTAACAACTATAGGTCACCGTACGGCCTTCAACAATGAGCAAAGCCCATACCGCATAATCAGCTATAAAAGGCCCCGAAATGACAAATGTAAAACTATTTCAAGCGAGAAAACTAACGGTCTGATTTATGTACAAGATAATGAACGAAAAAACAAATATGATATACAGCAACAAACGACAACCACTGAATTACAGGCTCCTGACTTGGGACAGGCACATACATAATGTGGCGGGGTTAAACATGTTAGCGGGCGACCAACCCTCCCCCTAACCTGGGACAGTGGTGTAACAGTACAACATATGGAAAAACTAGAAAAATCAGTTGAAAAGGGCTTAACTCATCAGATAGATACGAAGCAAAAACAAGTAACAAAAACATTAAATCCGATACCTCGTGTAGGGAGAGAGAGAGAGCTCCAAGCCTTGCAACAACTCTTTCAGGGAACAATAGGTACAAAACTTTATTTCTGGTTTTATCCAATTTACCCTCATTTTCCAGTGGCAGTCCAAATTTCCCGCCCTTCATCCCGGCCGAACTCTTTTACATGACCTACTTATTGTATGTATTATTAATTTTTTTTCGTCCTGAACATACATGAAATATTTGTCACTTGACGTTAAGCAACCAGCAACCAATCCCTTAATATTAAGGTATTGTCCTTTTAGGTATAAAACCATGAATTCATAGCCCCATTGCTTTCTATGTTAAATTGTGCAATTTCGAGCATCAAAGGCTACTTTGTCTTAAGTTCAAATAAAGTGGCAGTCATTTCATGTTATAACTATATATACCTTATTCTGACTTGTGCTGAAAAATTTAACATGCCTTAAATTGGATATTAGAGCGCACTGCTTCCCGGAAGTTTGATAGTACAAAAACAGGTACATCAGATCTGAACAACAGGGCAAATGTGCCCTCCTATTAAAATTTCTTATATTTTTTTTTATTGCTCAACAGAAACTTTCAAACAAGGGTACTACAGTGATCCCAATTGAGTCCCTAAGCTTTTATTTGATACCAAAATTACCCAAATATTTTACTTGTTGACAAAGTTACAGCTATGCGTAGGAACTATTTTATTAAAATATGTACTACTTTCTTCTATGTTCTTTCTGACCGTGCCCGAATTAGTGGTTCTATACCTGTATTGCATATGTTTTACACTCATCAGAATACGTGGATTATTCTAAGTAACATAAGATGACACACATACTTACCAACAGAAAAAGCAACATTCTTTTCAGTTCCATACAGCAGACCATTTTCATCCAAAAATCTTTCTGGGTTAAACTTTTCAGGATACGAAAATACCTGTTCATCCATTAATACAGAATCTAAATTTGGAACAATTACTGACCCTTTCGGAATTCTAAAACCTTTGAACAAAATATCATGTAAAGCACCATGAAGAACTGACAGAGGGGCTGTATTACTAATTCGAAGAGTTTCATCTACAACTGCTTGGCAATATTGCAATTTTGGTCTGTCATTTAAAGAAAGAAGACGATTGGAACTTGTGACACTTTCTATTTCTCTCCACATTTTCTCTTGGATGTTTGGGTAATGTATCATATACAAAATAAACCATTTAATACACGTCGCAGTTGTTTGTGTCCCTGCTATGAATAAATCTCGGATTATCTTTCGTATTTCAGTCTCTGAAATAATAAATCTCGGATTATCTTTCGTACCTCAGACTCTGAAATAATAAAACTCGGATTATCTTTCGTACCTCCTTCTCTAAAATAATAAATCTCGGATTATCTTTCTTACCTCAGTCTCTGAAATATTAATTCTCGGCTTCAGTCTCTGAAATAATAAATCTCGGATAATCTTTCGTACCTGTCTTTGAAATAATAAAACTCGGATTATTTTTCGTACCCCAGTCTCTGAAATAATAAATCTCGGATTAACTTTCGTACCTCAGACTCTGAAATTAATAAAACTCGGATTATCTTACGTACCTTCTTCTGTGAAATAATAAATCTTGGATTATCTTTCTTACCTCGGTCTCTGAAATATTAATTCTCGGGTTATCTTTCGTACTTCAGTCTCTGAAATAATAAATCTCGGATAATCTTTCGTACCTGTCTTTGAAATAACGAAACTCGGATTATCTTTCGTACCCTAGTCTCTGAAATAATAAATCTCGGATTATCTTTCGTACCTCAGTTTCTGAAATAATTAAAGTCGGATTATCTTTCAAGCCTCATTTTCTCAAATGATAAATCTCGAATTATATTTCGTACCTCAGTCTCTTTTAAAGAATAAATCTTGGATTATCTTTCGTACCTTAGTCTCTGATATGATAAATCTCGGATTATCTTTCTTATCTCAGTCTCTGAATTAATTAAACTCGGATTATCTTTCGTACCTCAGTCTCTGAAATAATTAAACTCGGATTGCCTTTCGTACCTCAGTCTCTGAAATAATAAATCTCAGATTATCTTTTGTACGTCAGTCTCAGAAATAATTAACTAACATCGTATGCAGAAGGAAAAAGATTAGTATGTTGTAAGTTGAAATCTAATCGATAGGATTGTTTTTAACGAACATTAATTAATAACACAAAACAAAATAAGAAATGGCATATACATCAACATTACAAGCATGTACATTACAATTAGCATGTATCAGCGACAACATTACAATTAGCATGTATCAGCGACAACATTACAATTAGCATGTATCAGCGACAACATCAGTTAGCATGTATCAGCGACAACATTACAAGTATGTACCAGCGAATGACAACATGTCTCCTCCCAAAATAATAGACCAGAGACAAAGAAGGTATGACTACATACCACTGCTATATATATTGATATGCTAACTCGACAAAAAGAAACACGATTAAAATACAGTCAAACCTGCTTAAGAGACCACCTGTATTAAGCAAAAACCTGTGTTATAAGACCATTAATTTTTGACTCCTCTGTAGTGCATTTCATATAGATTGGATCTGTATTAAAAGACCACCTGTCTTATGAGACTACTTTTTTGCTCCCCATTAAGTGGTTTTTTAAAACAGGTTTCACTGTATACATTTAAAACCATACATGTAAAAAAATAATGTACCCTTGATGAAGGTTGCTTCTATCAATAATCTTCAATATATCGCATTCTCCAAAAGAAATGATAAAACCATACTTATTTTCTTTACTCATTATATCATCAATATGGTAAAAAATTTTGATTCTAGAGTTTATAAGGTTTTGTCACATAATTATAAAATGGAATTCATCTTCCTCCACCCACATGCAGTGTTCGCATGAAAATAATTTCGACAAAAAACATTTTATTACTAATTTTGAAGAAAATGTTAAACAAACTGTTGGCGTTGTGTTTGCCAACATTATCGAAACAACAATATTACAAAATAAATGTTATTCTTACGCAAGACAGCAACCCAACACAAATAACCAAAAATACATCTAGTAGTCAACATAAATTTTTCACCAAACTTTTATTTTTTTTTAAATTGGTCTTGGTGTTGAGATCTTAAAAACTAGTGTATAACCCCTCCACATGAATTTATATAAAAATAAGAAAATGTGGCATGCCTGCCAATGATACAACTTTCCACCAGAGACCAATGGCGTAAAAGGTTAGCCACTATAGGTCACCGTGCGGCCTCAGTCAACAATGAGCAAACCCCATACCCCGTAACAAGCTACAAAAGGCCCCGAAATGTCAAAAGTAAAACAATTCAGACGAGGAAAAATAACGGCCTGATCTATGTACAAGACAATAAACGAAAAAAAAATATGATACATAGCAACAAACAACAACCACTGAATTACAGGCTCGTGACTGGGACAGGCACATACAGAATGTGACGGAGTTAAACATGTTCGCGGGCGTGCCAACCCTCCCCTAACCCGGTACAGTGGTGTAACAGTACAACACATGAAACACTATAAAAATCAGTTGAAAAGGACTGAACTCATCAGATTGATACAAAGCACAAAACCAACTATCAAAAACACAAAAGACACAAAGTACAGATCTGAGAGTACTCGAAGTTACTGAAAGTTAGTTCAATGCCAATAACAACTAATAAAAAAAATCATGTAACTAAGACTAAAATATCAATCAGTACACATTCAAAAATGGATTTATTGTAAAGAGATATTAACAGTTAGAGAAAAACAGACCTTGTGCAATGCCAAAATACAGGTATTGACAGATTGTATGACCGTGAATGTATGTATAATATGTATAACAATAATAAGTAGTTGGGTTTAATTTAGTAATAACAAAATCAATATTCATACCAATAAAACAATATTTAAAAATCGAATAGTTTAGCATACTAGTCAATAAAGGCAAGGGTTGTATATAATTTTGCATCTCTCAAAACAAAATGCATAAGAAAATTTTTGTTAGATTTAGTGAGCCTCCATACATGTTAGTTGAGCGGCAGCAATTCATGAATGTTCATAATGTCAAATGCAAATCTTAAATCTGATGCATGGTTGCTGAAAAAAACGTTTTAAGCCAGAGAAAGTAGCATTCAAATTTTTTGGCTTACCTAACCGTTTCGAAAAATATTCTGTGAATTTACTCAACATGCATGGTTCTTGAAAATACATGTAGTATACAGTGAATAACGTGTGGTTTATTTTTAGAATGTTACGCAACTAATTGAGTATTGCACGTATGACTATTTACTTGGTTTATTCTTTTCAAGATGTAGTTCATGCATGTATTATATCTTTTATTTTCTCTCTGTGTATATTTGATTGAAAACTGTTGGGGGGGAGGGGGGGTTATGTTAACTGGTTTATACGTCTAGTCGTCGCATGCAGTGACAGCACTTGATCTATAGATGTCGTTTTAGTTCATGTTCAATGTGTATACATCTTATTATCAGAATACTCTAGAACCTGAAGAACCTGAACCCATAAATGAAAATAACATTTTATAAATATGTCCATCCGAAGCTTTTCTGGATTGACCTTCATCAGCAACGCTCAAACCCTAACATATCAAAACTTTGGATGTTTAAATACGTTAGACCAAAAAATAATAAAAATCTAAGATTAACTTTGACTAAGGGAGTTGGAAACCTTAGTTTCTTAATAATTTTATTTATTCATCCTCGAAAATTTTAGAAAAAATACGCGTTTTTTAATATTTAAAGTATAAAATGAAAAGCACAAATAATAACAAAACAAACATAAAAATATCATGTGCAAATACGCGCATGTCTTTTCTTACCAGTTATAATAGTTCCATTACCAGTTTCCATTTCTCTGAGACAGGCATCTATGAAGTCTGTTATATTGCTACTCTCAAAACAGATCTTGTGTTCATTAATTCTTGCTTGTATAAAATCCTCTATTTCCTTTTGATTGGACAACACTTTCTTTGCAGAGAAGATGTCCCCTGGCATGTGTCGTAGGATCGGAATAAAATTTAGTGTTGTTGTGAGAGTAGAATTGCTAATGTAATCATCCAGTATTGTCATTAATTTTACAAACGTCCGGTCGTGATAGTCATACCTTTTTCCAAAGACTATTGAACAGATTATATTAGAAATGCTTACATTCACCGTTTCATCCAAACTAAAATTGTCTCCGTTCGTTTCGTCAATGAAATCTAGAAAAAATTTAACCTCCTCTTGAATGTTTTCTTCGAGCGACTTTTTTCCAAACCCAAATTCCCGCAATGCCCGAAGGGTAAATCTTTTTAGTTCTTTCCATTTTTCACCATCTGATCCAATTATACCTGAAAAATAAGTGCGTTAAAATGAATTAGCCAAATCTTTCATTTTCATTGATTATTATCAATTTATTAGTGCCAGCAACAAATGAAACTACACCAAGATGATGCCTTGTCGTATTCCGCTTAATTGGATTTAACAAACAGTGACGTAGAAGTTCAACATGAAATAGTTGGGTTTGTAAGACACATTTGATGCCCCGCCATAGTTATGATTTTTCCATAATGTAGGAAAATTAGTTGTTGCTGTTTTTTTCTTTCTTTTTGAAACTTCATACATCAAATTTTGTAAAGTTAGCAGGGGTAAAAAAATGTGAATGTTTATAATACAAAAATGTATGAGCGTGGCACTAATGTTATAAACTCTGTTGATCAAGGGAAAAGTGATTATATAAATATGTAACATGTCTTCAAATCAGACACAAACAAATTCTCTGACGTAAGTGTTTTGACACTGATGGCCCGAGAACACAGTTATTTCGTAGTGCATTTCCTTTAGACAATAAATTCATATTAAAGAAATCGCACCTGCTCTTTCTCAAAAACACTTTTACAGTGTAGTGTACTACTTTGGGGACAAATTATACTAAAATTATAGAAAATCTACCAGCTCTATCTCAAAAATGGACAATTCTATGTTAAAGGGAGGCGAAAGATACCAAAGGGACATTCAAACTCATAGGTCGAAAATAAACTGACAAAGTCTAATTCGGTAGGTCACATTCGGGGAAAAGTATACGGGATTGTAGTTACGACAATTGGAACATATCCGTTGTCATCTATGAAACAGAAATTCCATAAGGCCACACCAATTTGATTAATAGTTCTTCGGATTTTCCCGCTCCTGTTTTGGAGAAATTGACTTTTCAATAAAAAAAAATAATTACCGCTTCCGCCAATTTTTGGGCCGCATGCCGCTCCAAAATTAGTTTATCCTTGACATTTTTTTTTCTCTTAGACGTTTTTCTCGTGCATATATTGCTCCGAGCGATTCAAACGCACGTGTGATAAATCGATTTGTAAATAAAAGGTCAAAATTCGGGATGCCAACATGAAGTTGTGTCAGATCATTGCCGAGGACACGTAGTTATTTAACACACAGTTATTTGAAATGCATTTCGTTTTACCTGTTCTAGGAGACAAAAATAAAAAAATCTTTCCGGTTAGATGACCAAGATCACACAAGTACTTGTTAGAACCATTGTCATCCCCGATCATTGTTTCAACAGACATAGTCCGAGATTGTTTGCCAGACAAGATGGAGGGCTGTTGCGGGGGCTGTTGTCCCACGGCCCCAGCTTGTCTGGCAAAACAGCCGTTGGACGTCAGAGTAATCTCGGACTACAACAGACATAGATATCTAGAGGTATCTGTCTTGGATGAAATTAATATTAAATTCACATGAATTTTTGAAAAATGACAGATTTATCTTATTTTAATGACAACTCCATATCCCCTTGTTAGTCTATTGACATGCAATCAGAACTCTTTTGTAAGGGAAAATTTAAGAGTTCCAACATTCGAGACCAAAGTGGTGGTATTGGGATTGGCATGCTAATAATAATTAGGGATGTGTTATTGGTTCAACCACTTCCAGTTTGAAATACATTACTATTTTAGTAATTGCAGGTTTCAGGGGCAAAAGGAAAAAGTATTTTGCTAAGTCAGAATAATGCATGTGAATGTGGTTAAATGTATTTTAAGGGAATAGACATAGGAAGATGTGGTATGAGTGCCAATGAGACAACTCTCCATCCAAGTAACTATTTATAAAAGTAAACCATTATAGGTCAAGGTACGGCCTTCAACACGGAGCCTTGGCTCACACCGGACAGCAAGCTATAAAGGGCCCCAAAAATTACTAGTGTAGAACCATTCAAACGGGAAAACCAGCGGTCTAATCTATATAAAAACGAGAAACGAGAAACACGTATGAACTACATAAACAGACGACAACTACTGTACATCCGATTCCTGACTTAGGACAGGTGCAAACATTTGCAGTGGGATTAAATGTTTTAATACATTGAGATCTGCATGCAAAGCAATATAATTATCTTACTCAGGATGTTGTTGAAATATTCACCTCACTCATTATGTTGATCCTATTATTGATATATAGTTCCAACTGGATGTCAAGCAGCCAATAAACAATCATTACCATATAATGAAAACAACTATATCAAAAGATATTTAATATTTTTCATGGGCATTTTTTTGGAATACATACACATATTTTAATTGTATTCAACACATTTCATTTACCTAACTAACATAATTCCTCTTGCTAAACTGCATCTGATATGCTTCCTTGATATATACACATGTATGAATTTAAATGAAAATTCACGCAGTCAAAGCTTATTTGACGAAAATAATCAAAATTATACTAAACCAAAGCGAACCAAAAAGTTGGGTATGGTACAGACTGTACTACAGGCACAAATACATCAACTTAAATCATATGCATAAGAGCATGTTTATCCTCCTTTTTCTTTGAAGTAACCCAGTTTTAACATGTACAAACATTCTAAATCGCACAATTTAAAAAAAAAATTATACCGCTCGCTCCACTTGTAGAGTACCCGCCTCAACAAAACTCATTTTCAAGAAATAAATACAATCAAAAAAATTTCGCTCGCTCGCCCCATATTTTTTGGAGCTTCTGTCCGAAGAACTAAAAATAAAATTGGTGTGGCCTAACAGTCAACCAACTCGTGATGGCGTCCGTAAAAGTTACAATGGGATGATTTCAACTTCACCACTTGGAACTCTTGGTTTAATAGCTTCCTTGTGAGAAGCAAATCATAAGAAATACAAGCCCTGGAATATCGTATCATCTGGGAGATATATACTCCGTATGAAGGCGCTGTTGGAATGTTGCTTCTTAGAAATGGAAAGTTCACAATTGGGGTGCTGCAATCATCTTTTTTGTCGTAAAGTTTTGTTTTCAACCGACCCTCGTTGTCAATTTCTAGATGACTGTCAAGATATGAGGCAAACGTAACTGTATCTGTTGTAAGGGGTCTACTTTTCAGTTTGACAGCTTCAGGCATGTTAATCACCCTCCTGCTTAATATTTTATGCATAGAATATTAAAAAAAAATAATTTGGAAAGTGTATGAAAAAAATTTGAGAGTTATAATATGTAAAGCAAAATATTGTCCTATAAAATATTGTCCTCCAAGAAATATTTCACGACTATGTATCGTGAATTATTGTCCTCATCTATGAAAAAATTTCCAGGGTAGGACAAATTTCCATAGTGAAATTTTGTCTGTATATAGACTATACTTTCACAGATGAATACTATGAAATTTTGTCCTGTTTAAGGGAGGTTATATTTTATAATTTGTGTGTATTGAGACAATATTTCATAGACAGATTGTCATGAAATTTTGTCTCATGAAGGGGAGGTTATCAACAGATATCATGTTGGATAATGATATCATTAAAGTGTTTTATTTGACTGATAATAACAAATAAACACAAATTAATATTCCAGTTACATTGTACTACTGTCATGACTGTACCTCCAAAACGCTGGACATCGCAAAAAGATTCGTCTAGTATTTACGAATACTATTAGTACATTTTGAACATAAATAAGTGATTGTCAGTGCATTACTTGTATTTATACAGTATAATGTAACACAATGGAACATACGTTAGACAATTCTTTAATCTATAATTAACCATTTATAAAGTATCTATGCAAATTTGAAACTAGCTTATGTTAAAATAGATATTAGTTTGATATATATAAAATACTTAATTTACAAAATAATTTCAGTTATAAATCTAAAAATGTGCATGCTGCATGGTTGTGTACTATTTTTAATTTTGTAATTAGTTTAAGAAATATTTTCATGGACAGTATTTCACAGTGAAATATTGTCATGGACAGAATTTCAAAGTGAAATATTGTCATGGACAGAATTTCATAGTGGAATATTGTCCAGAAGGAGGTGACAAAATTTCATGTACAAGGACACTATTTCATAATGAAATATTGTCCTGGACAGTATTTCATTATGAAATAGTGTCCGCAGACAATATTTTGTATGAAATTATCTTATTTTACACACACTAGGAAGGACGATAACTGTGTCCTCGAACCCGATTATCTTTTACTCTCTATAAAGGTCGTCAAGTTGGTTACTTATTCCTTATTCGTTACTTATTCCTTATTCCTTATTCGTTACCTATTCATTACTTATTCCTTATTCGTTACTTATTCCTTGTTCGTTCCTTATTAGCTTTTTAATATGTTGCCCCCTTTTAATACTTTCTTTTCTTTTCTTTTTTTTACTATGATGTAAGATATTTGTTCGAGGAGGTAAAATTAACCTGTCCGCGCGAATGTACCCGCTTCCGCGCTCGATTGATACCTGTAACTTATTCGCTTTTAATATGTTTCTCCCTTTTAATGATTTTTTCGTTTCTTTTTTAATCCCTGATGTTAATTATTGGTTCGTAATGGCGACATTACCCTGTAAGCGCTCGACTGATACCTTGTTACATATTCGCTACTTATATGTTCCTTAATCACTTTTTATACCTTGCACCTTTTAAATTCATTCTTTTTTATTATCTTATTGTCTCTGATGTTATCTATGGGTTCGGTGAGTTTAAAATACCCTGTTTGCGCGTATGTACCCCTTTCCTCGCTCGACTGATAACCTGAAACTTATTCGCTACTTATTCGTTCCTTATTTGCTCCTTATTCGCTTCTTTATACGTTGCACCTTTTTAATGTTTTATTTCTTGTCTCCGGTGTTAGTTCTTAGTTCTTAGAGGTGAAGTTCCCTATTAGCGCATGTGTACCCGTTTCTGCGCTTTACTGATACCCTGTTACTTATTCGCAAAAACACTTTTACAGTGTAGTGTACTACTTTGGGGACAAATTATACTAAAATTATAGAAAATCTACCAGCTCTGTCTCAAAATATGGACAATTCTATGTTAAAGGGAGGCGAAAGATACCAAAGGGACATTCAAACTCA